TTGTTCTGTGTTCCCCAAAACCAATGTAAAAAAATGTATTTATAGACCTGGAAGCCCTCTGTGCATGGTCTTCCCAGACCTGAGGGGTGCAGGGATTCTGCACAGCAAGGGTGCGAATGAACCGCAGCCTCGTCCTTGCGTTTCTGACACATTCTGTACGTAGGACTTCTTGTTCAAAAGTTATTTCTGATCTGTAAGGCATGTTCACAACGCCTTCTGTCACAGATAATGGACAACTTGGAGGAGCTTTTTTTTTTTTTGTCTCCTTGGAGGATTGATCTTAATAGTTGTGTGGGATCACTTCTTCATTTTTTTTCTCTGTTAAAAAAAATTATTTTATGACAATACCCATTTTCTGCCCTTGGTCAACACAGTTGTCTGTACCTTGTATCCTCAGTAATGTTTTATTATAAAGCCTTGTGTGATCACTGTAGAAAATTCGAGAAAAACAAGGAAGGAATAAGAAAAAGGTGTGATCTCTGCTTCCAGACGAGATGCTCCCAGACAGCCCGGGAGCCAAGGGAGGGTTTATGAGGGCGCAACGGCCTTGGCCGCCGCTCATGTGGAGCCAAGAAAACAGCAAATTAAAACAATTACACATTTACACGGGCGATTCCAAGTGTCTGAGTGGGTTTGGGGAAATCTGGAGGAACTGGTTTGGATGGCATGTTTCAGTCTACAGCACATTTGCCCAGGCTTGTGGCAGAGGGGTGCCCACTGCATCCTGCCGCGGGGGGAGGGGCACTCTGGGACTTGCAGGAGTCAGGCTGTTTATATCCCCCTCGGATACATCGTAGGGCTCTTGAGGAAAAAACACCACCAGGCTGAGGATCAGCTGAAGATGCCCAAGGATAATACAGGTGGCCTCTTAGGACACACTTTCTGAATCTGTCAAAGCCAAGTCAGTACACGTTTTCAACCGGGGCGACTCTCCAGACACTGGCTGCGGGACGAGCCTCGGCGGAAGGGCAGCATCTCGTGATCCATCAACCCGAAAGGCCGTGGCGAGGGGAAAGCGATCCGAGTCCTGGGCCCCGGCGTGCGGGGCGCACACGCGTGCATTTGCGGAAACCGCAGTTTGTGGGTGTCACGTCACAGCGACTGTAAACGACATTGAACAGGAAGGAAGCAGTGTCGCCCCAGGGAAGGGACACCTGGACCCTCCTTCGAAAGGCGCTGAACGTCAGAGGGGGTACGAGACGGAGTGAGCCCAGCAGCAGGCTCGAGGAAGCGGGCGCCCAGTCCGGTTCTCTAGGCTCTTCGCGTGTTTGACGCTTCATCACCCCGTTTGAGAGAGAAAAGCTCAGTGCTGTGTAGATCCTGCGACTCTTGACTCGGTCGGATTTGTCTTCAGATTTGCCAAGGGCCCAGCAGATCACTGGCCTTTGGGGGGGAGCAAGACACAGAGGCATAGCCCTGAAGTAACGTTAAATTCTCTTCGAATAAACTACTTAAACACCTAACCCTACATGCGTATTTTAAGGCCATTCCTACAGTATAATGTGTTCCTTTCTCTCTCTCTCTGGATAAAGATTCCAGAGTCACTCTGCTCGACACTTACCGTTAGAGTTTGAGTGAGCGCGTCTGCAGGTGCTCGGCAGTGGGGACAGCACCTGAGGGCACGTGCCCAGCCACGGAGGTCCCCATCCACAGAGGTCCCCGACCGCCCGTCCAGATGCCCTCCGAGCTCAGTAGTTTTTTGTTTGTTTGTTTGTTTGTTTTTGAATTTTAGAGCATGTTTATTAAAACTGGGGACAAGGAAAGACCTAGGATAACAGGAAAGGAACGAGGTGGAAAAATGAGCCGAGGCTGGGCTGCTTTGGCTCGCTAAGAAGTCAGAGAAAAGGGGGCCTTGGGGACAGGTGTAGGGGGTTTGCCCAGGAGGAACTGTCGCCGCCCATGTGATTTCTTAGAGTTTAGGGGGTGTGTGCCTGTGGGAGGGGAAGGCGGGAAGGGGGAGGGGAAGAGGACAGCATTGGCCTGCTCCCCACGGGAGGGCTCCGAGCTCAGTAGTTAACGTTAACAAGGAGGTTCTGCAGCGAGCTCGTGACTCAGGTCGCGCGGTGAGGAGGGGCCTGAGCAGAAGCTCTCTTGGACGAATGGAAGAGTCCTTGCTTCTCCGAGTTTTGCCTTCAATCCGCCAGTGGTGTGCCTGTGGTTTTTGTTTTTTAACGACCATGCTGACTCGGTGGTCTGACATTTACATCCCCTCACTGCTTGGTTCCACCACACGAGCTATTGGGTATGAAAGCTGGAGGCAAGATGACACTCCGTTCAGTCAAGAAACCGAGGCCAAGCCCTTCTGGCCCGCACCCTGGGTGTCACCAGATGCTGTCGCTCCCTTTGATGACAGGAGGAAGCCGCGGAAGAAACAGCCTCGTCGTGATTTCTCCGGACACTTCAGTAACTGACCCTGGACTCGGACTCAAGGTGGACTCGCCTCAAACGGAACCAAATAAACACCAACGGCGTTCTCGCTCTAAGAAATAGACACGTCGCACGGGGGCGCTTTTTAGGGTCCTTGGCCGTGTTTTTATCACCATTAATTTTAAAAAATCGATAAATCATGGTTAGCATCTCGCATGAAGCTTTTTTTCTGTCCGGGTCTGTTTCCTCAAATAGGTTTTCCGAAGTGGCATCGTCATTAACACGGACGTTGAAGCACGTTTGTTTGTTTGCACAGCTGTCCAGCGGGTTCCCCAAGTGTTTTGTGAATTTGTGTTCGCCTCCACAGTGAGCAATGTCGCTATTGTCTCCCAAACAGAGGGTCTTTTTCCTGACTCTCGAAGTGAGTCCTACTGCTTGTAAAGCCACGCAGACTTGTGGTGGGTGTTCATCCAATAAACACGGGTGGTGCTCGCTGACCATTTTTTGAATGAATGAATGAAATGATAGTTTTCTTGACTAAAAGGCTAAACTCACATGGTGTGTTTTCCTTTTTGATTGGCGCACGTGACTTCCATTGACTCAATAGTAAAAATCATTTGGTGTGGTGGGGAGAAACGTACAAGCCAATATCCTTGATCATGTCAGAAGACAGCGGCTCTGGCTGTTTCTTCCCTCCGTAGGCTGAAGAAACTCTTCTCCAACGAGCTCCAGCCCCGAGTCCTAGTCGACACCATTACTGTTCCCCTGGCTGACACGAGGGTGCGGCCAACGCTGGTGGCTGCCCCGGCCGCAGCCAATCAGTTGGGCTGGAATTCGGGGGGCACAGTCCGTGAGCCAGGAGAGCAGTTTTTGTGGCAAGGTGTGCCAGTGGGGAGGTCACGCGTCACCGCCGCAGCCCCTCACCTACATCCGAGAACCTCGGAATTGGGCATCAGCCTGGCCCTGTCTGCGTGTCTTGCAGCCAACCACGTGCGTCTGTTCCAACTTGAGGCTGAAATCGAGCAGCCCAGACTCCTGGGCAAAAGCAGCCGGACCGTGCTGGGTCCGATGTTATGATTGGAAGGGATACGGAGTCCTTCTGCCCTGCAGCTAGTCGACGGGGCTCCATCTTGCCGGCCTGTCTGAGTTCCCCTTGCTCCTGCTCTCTGCCACCAGATCGGAATGAGACACCAAAGGGGAGAAGAGGGAGATGCCCACCGAGTGACAGAGGAGGCAAGGTCGCTTCGTACCTGACGCTGGTGTCAGTAATTTGGGCTGGTTATGAGGTGTCTGCACATGTGCTCTGTGCCATGACACGGAAATAGAGGGCAGAGAACCCCCTGATGCCCGCCAGGCAGTGCCCATGAGCAGGGAACCAGGGAGCCCATGAAAGAGCCTTGTAAATTAGGAAGAGCCCCCGAACAGGCCCGGCCCGTTGACGCTGGCCTTGTCCTGGTGCTCAGCCACGTGGCTGCTGGTGGTCGTCCTGCCTCTGCAGACTCGGAAGAACTCCGCCGGTCCTGGCCTCGCCTCCGAAGCCAGCCAGGCCGTGTCTCCTCACTCTGAGGATAATTTCGGTTCAAAACGTAGCCCCTTCACAAGTTCCCTGCCTCAGAATCCCACGCACCTCTTTGTTCGCTCACGCTTGCTTAGACATGTCTTCTGCGAGCTGGGTTTGTAAATGAGGCTTGATTATCCTCCTCTGCCTCGCTTTGAAATGCAGACTACCCAGGGCCGTTCCAGAGTCTAACTGTCCCCTAATTGACTGTCTTCTGGTGTTAAGTCGGATTCCTTTCAACAGTAGGGAGCTGAGTATGCCAAGGGGAATGCCACCTGTGTGGGCTGGATTCGTGGGAGGGAGGGGGGTAGACAGACAGACAGAAGGACTCTTGGGTTCTCAGTAACGGAGTCTTTTTTTAAATGTGTGTTTTCATCTCATTATTTACTAAATTTTCCTTATAAGGCCCCCCTGCGGATATGTTATTTAAATCTTTATTGTTGACACTGTTGCAGATGTCCCCCATTTCCCCCCTCCCCCCTCCCCTTTACCAAATCTTATGTAATTAGACCTCTAGTTTATTCTTTGAGGCATTCGTTTTTGAAGAGTGTTTTTAACCTCCAGCCATTGGGGTTTTAACGTACAGTCTCGTCATTGACTTGAGGGAGTACAGTATTGTGTCAGAAAATATTGCCTAGTGTATATTATGTTTGTAAATATTCTTTGGACACATGTAAGGTGGCATGTTCTCCTTTTGCAAAGTGAGAAGATCATCATATCGTGGTTAACTCAATGTTGTGATTATATTATTTCTATGCTTTAGGATATGAGTTGTTTTGCCTGCTGAAGCTCTTACAGACTATTTGTCTCAAAGGTTTTTATAGAATTTCAGCTGTGTCCCCTTGAATCTTTAACATGTTTGAACAAGTCCCTGCGCGGCGGCGGGGATCAGTCCTTCCTTCTCGTCAACTGCACCTTGTACAACTGAAACTTTCTGTCCCCTCTGCCTTGATCAGAATCCATCCTGTCCGTCTCCGAAGCACGGAGTTAGCCGAAGTTCGTGAGCACTGTTTGATTTTAGTTCTGCTGCCTTGCTGGGCATTTCACGGGAATCTCCTCTGTCGTTGTTTTCCAGTTTGCCAAGGCACCAACAACAAGCTCACCCAGCTGGGCACGTACGATGACCACTTCCTGAGCCTGCACAGGATGCTGAACAACTGCGAGGTGGTCCTTGGGAACCTGGAAATCACCTACATGCAAAGGAACTACGACCTTTCCTTCTTGAAGGTTAGTCCGATGAATCTGATCGCCTTACCCAGATATCACAGACGTCAACAGAGGCAGGTGACGGCCTGGCAGAACGTACCTGGACATAGGTTTGCTTCTGCCATGGCAGTTACAAGTCCTAGGGACCTCCGGATGCGGGTTCGACGAGAGGCCACTGCCCCAGCTAGGGTCAGGGGACAGAAGACCCGAGAGAAACAGGCCGGGCTGGCATTCCACTGTCACCACAGACACTAAGAGCACTCTTGTAACCATGGCCTCAGCCCTGGTACCCTGGTAACTGGCTCTTAATTTTTAAAGTCTTGCTTTGTAGCATCTGCCCATTCCCTTGGTGTAAATGCAGAGTCCCCACCAAGGCTGGCTTCCAGCCACGAAGAGCTCAGCCACCATGTCCCGAAGGGCCCGCCTGTGTCCCCGTGGGCCCCAGCGAGCCACTAGGAACCAGAGGTGCACTTTGGGTGTGAGTGGTCTCCTCCTCAGTGTTTGATTTTTGTGTTTTCATTTTTTAATGAGAAAGCAGGCAAGACAGATACAAGATAAATTAATGAAACATTTCCATTTTGACCTGAGTGCGTTGACCACCGAGTCGAATGAGAGTTGCGGCTCAGCAGTCACACTGCCTTTCTTCGGCCGCAGACCCAAGGCTCGGGCGGGCGTGGCGACGCGTCCTGTCACTGGCCACGCCCTGCCTGTGGTCACCTGCGTGCCTCGCGCCGGTCAGCCACGCGTGTGCGCGGTTCCGTAGGGTGTCCCGGGCTCTTGGGACCCGCTCAGACCTTGCATGCTTGAGTGCCTCCTTGGAGAAGTGCCAAGTCCGTGTCTTGTCTCCTTAGACCATCCAGGAGGTCGCCGGCTACGTGCTCATCGCCCTCAACGTGGTGGAGAAGATTCCCCTGGAGAACCTGCAGGTCATCCGGGGAAACATGCTGTTCGAGAACACGCACGCTCTGTCCGTGCTGTCCAACTACGGCCCGGGCAACAGCGGCCTGAGGGAGCTGCCCCTGCGGAACCTGCAGGGTGAGTGCAGGGCCCGGGGCCCGGCACACGGGACTCTGTGGCCTGGCCAGCCCGCCGCTGGCTTCATTCCGCTCAGGGACTTTGATTCGTAGAGACAAGGGCACCGCGGGCCAGCCGTGTGCGCGGTCCCTTAGGTGGGAGTCATGGAAACGGCGAACGCTGAGCGCAGAGTCTCTTCCAGGTCCCCTTAGCCCGCAGCCGGGACAGGGCCGCAGAGTCAGCGAGAAATGGTACAGGCTCTGCAAGGAGAGGGGCGACCAGGCTCCCAGCGCCCAGGGAGAGAGTAAGGCGCGGCCTTGTCACCTGGGCCGCAGGTATAGCGGACGTGCTTTAACAATCACCCCCCATCTGAGACCGTGTTCAGGGTCATGCTGTCATGCCGAAGCCGTGTTTACATGAGGGCGAGGCATGAAGGTGTCCCGGGGAGGGTGGAATTCTGGTGACAGGGACACAGTGAGGGTCCTGAGGCAGGAACCTGGAGGATGATAGGAGAGATGGGCAGTCGATCTTTTAAAAACGGAAGACAACCTGAACTGTGCCCTCGCTCTGGAGCGGGCATGGTGCCAGGCACGGTAAATCGGTGCCTTCGTGGAATGCCACGCCCTTGCTCCGAGCCCTGCTGCACCGTTCAGCAGCCGGACCCGAGGCGGCCTCCCTGTGTGTCCCTGCCCCTCACCTAGACGTCCATAACGATGCAGCACACCTGGGCTGTGGAGAAGGCTGAGCGAGTCACTGTAGGCAGAGCCAGACTGTTGAAAGCAGCCTGTTCCTATTGTTGGTATTGTTGACGTTGTGTAAATTCAAATTAATATTGTTAGATAATTCCTCAAGGTGAATTATTTGGTGTTAATTAAATACCATTATTCATGATAAACACAGAGAGCCGTCCTGCAGTGTCGGAAGTAAACACAGAAGGAGGGTGGCCGCCTCCCCCTAGCTGCCAGGCAGTGACTCCAAGTCTGGGCGCCTGGTGCCTCCTTCTCCCAGGAGCTGATGGCAGGTGCCCTGTAAGGCCCCACCTGGTGCGCCGTCCCATCTTGGCCCCTGGTCTGCTGCCCTAGCTGTGATCACAGCGGCCTCCCCAGCCCCGCGCTGTGATCAGTTCTGACCCGCCGCCAGAACCCCACGCCCCTGGTCTGGCTCCCTCCCGAGAGAATGCTTTCACTCCATTGGCCCTCTGTCACCCCTGGCTTTACGTCCAAATCTCCACAGCTCGGCCCTTCCGACCTCCCAGCCCACCTTTGGGACCCCTCGATTCTCCACCATCCACCCAGCCTCCATGCCCCTGCCCTGTCCTGTCTGCCTGAAGCCATAGTACGCTCCCTCCGTCTGCTTCTGTCCACCACCTGGGAATATTCTTTCCAGCAACCTCCAAGCTCCTCCCGGGGAGCCCCTTCCTTTTCCACGTCGGTGCTTTCTGCACGGGGCACCTCCGTCCCCCGCCTGGGGGCTGTTGGGCTGTTCCTGTAGCTGCACTGGAATTGTGCACCGCCACAGGACCATCGCGAGCACTAACTCACAGTGCGTGTGAATCATGTCCCGTGTCCTCTGTGGACGTGTGCTCGCCATCTGCGTGCCCGTCTCCCTGTCGGTGCTCGGAGAGAAGCCAGCAGACCTCCTTCTTCCTTGCGGACCCCACGGCACTCGCCACAGTGTCTTGTGCATAGAAGTCGCTCAGTAAATGTGTTTCATGTCCCTCCGCTCCGGCTTGATGTTCCTTATCACCCCAGATTTTTCCTGTCCTATCGCTTGTTCCTTGGAAACAGTTGTTCAGTCCTTTGCATTCCTGGTGTTCGCCCCGTGTCCTCATCACACACACAGAGTCTTCTCGATCCCGGTCACTCTCACCCCGCTGCTCCGCTGAAGTCTTTGCTCCCAAAGCACCGCGCAGCACAACCCCCCTCCTGGTACTGCGGTCATTCATGCCGTGCCTGCCGCCTCACACGTGGTCTCCTTCCTCCCCGTCACCCCCCATTCTGACCGTTCGTTGTGCAGAGGCCCAGCTCAGGGGAAATCCAGACTCCTCCGTGGCACCTCAGCTCATCTCCACCTGCCCCCACTGAGGTTCTGGGGGGTCTCCTCCGCGTGCTGCCGCCTGTCTTGCAGGGTGCAGCGTGTAAAGAGACGCATGCCTGCTCCGTGAGGGCCTAGGAGAGACGGCACCTGTGCTCACCGGGCCCCTCTCTCCCACAGAGATCCTGCAAGGTGCTGTCAAGTTCAACAACAACCCCGCCCTCTGCAACATGGGGACCATCCAGTGGCGGGACATCGTCGACAGCAGTTTTCTGAGCAACATGTCGATGAACTTTGAGAACTCTTCCAGCAACTGTGAGTGCATCACAGACGTCTGCCTGCAGCTCCGGGGTGGGGGCAGGGCTGCAGGGGCTGGGGTGGGGGAGGGCCGGGTCCGCCTCACACCAAGACTCTGCCGCCAGACGAGACCTGTGTGAGCCAGACTGGAATTGTAGGCAGATCATGAGCTCTCGGGTTGGCACAAGTTTTCCTCTGTTACAGGAAGATGCCTTTAAGCATTTTTATTTTAAGTCTTGTTCTTTTATAAATCTACCAGGTGCTAATCATAGAAATTTGAAAAATATGGGTGCTAATCATAGAAATTTGAAAAATATGGTAGGGATAAAAATAACTCTATACAGACCATCACTTTGAACATTTCTATGTGTTGGTTTGGTCCTGTCTTTTCTTTGTTTCTCTCTGTCTCTCTGCCTCGATCTCTCTCTCTCTCTCTCTCTCTCTCTCTCTCTCTGTCTCTCTCTGTCTCTCTCTCTGTCTCTCTGCCTTGATCTCTCTCTCTCTTTCTCTCTCCCTCCCTCCACAGTGTGCAGCCCTGTCCATTTGGGGTCCAGCCTCAATGTCCTTCCCGAATCTAAGGAGCACCAGCATTACATTCCTGTCCTTCACCCCTGGGGGCAGGTATAAAGAGTGTCAGTTACATTAACAGGTGTCCTGGTTGGACAGTCACGGGGTGTATCACCAGCCCTTCCATTTGAAGTCTGAATTCTCCGGAGATAAATTCCTCCTGCCGGTGGGACGCCCTCAGGTCACCGTGTCTGTGTGAGGGAAGAGCACAGGGCTGACCTCTCCTTAGCAGGCTTGGCGGTCAGCCTGTCCTCTCCCTGCAGCTAGGACGCTGTGGTCTTCGGATCTCCCCATACTGAGCAAAACAAAACGCACCTGACGAGATCAGGCACCTGCGTGGCTGTCGTCTGTGGTTGACCGTCGCTTAGGAAAACTGCCAAAGTTGATCCACTGGAAATGTTTCCTGACAGTAGCTTGCAAATTAACAGCTGATGTTTTAGATAGCCAGCACAGCGATGCACACCGTGGTCAGGGCTCTGGTCTTCTCTCTGCCTGGGTCCGGGGGCTTTGTAATCCTCACTCAAGGATATTTTTTACATTGATTTTCAGATAGAGTAGGAGGGAGGGAGGGAGAGAGAGAGAGAAATACTGATGTGAGAGAGACACGTCGACTGGTTGCCTCCTGCCCGACCCCAACCAGGGCCAGAGATCAAACCTACCACCGAGGTACATGCCCTTGACCGGAATCGAACCCATGACTCTTTGGTCCGCAGGCCAGCACTCTAACCGCTGAGCAAAACTGGCCAGGGCGGAGTCCAGGACCCCAACTCCCCAGGGCAACTGACCACCCCCTCCTGAGTGTGCAGAGCAAGGCTGTAGTGGGTGCACGCCCACCCACCAGGGTAGATGCTCCTAACGTCGTTATGGAAGACGCTGGAAAATTCTCCACGCCTAATCAGATTTGAAATCTGGGTTTTCGAGTTCATTGACACCCAGTTTTCCTGGCCTGCGACAAGTCTATAATCGCTCTGCCTCAGTTTCCAAGGCGGGATGTGAATCGAACCAGTGTGTGGTTCAGCATTCCCCTCGCCGAGCGTCTTTCACGTCATCTGACGGCAGACCAGCCAGACAACTAACGCAGAATAAGACATGTGAAGGCTCCCCCTCGTTTCTAGAACGTTCTTTCACTCCCAGGCTTCGGAAGGGGGTCAGCGATGTCTTGTTCTTTGTCCCCTTTCACTGAGATACGAAAGTGACTCTCGCTTTTATGTCTCAGGCCAGAAGTGTGACCCGAGCTGCCCCCACGGCGGCTGCTGGGGCCCGGGGAAGGAGAACTGTCAGAAATGTGAGTCCGTGAGCGGTTCAGATGCGCCTGTGGCCCCGCCTCCCCTGACCCTCGGCTGCTTGGGTTGGTTTTCCCTCTGAAGGCTCCAAAATCCACTCGACTGACAGGCCAGACGTGAGGCACCCTGTGAGGCCAGCCCTGCCCCCTGCCCCCGTGGGTGGCCCGGCGTGGGCTGTTTGGGGCACCTGCGCTGGTTGGTCGTGCGAGAGCCTCGGGTGTCAGTCGAACTGTGTGGCAGGTGTTCCTGGGAGCAGAGGGCTGGTCTGCCCGCTTCCCCCTCGCTTTGGGGCCCCCTCCAAGTGACATTTTCCAAAGGGGCTTCTCTGCAGGGGTCTGAGTGGAGGAGTGTGGGTGGCCAAGGGACCTGGGGGCATGTCAGCTGAACAGACCCCCTGACCGGGCACGACCGACACGTCCTTCCGAACACTGCTTCCTGGCTCGCGTGTTTGCCGTCCGTGTGAGCTTCCAACCCCCGGAAGCCCGGTTCTAACTCGTATCTCATGATGGAGGAGGTCCGAGAGCCTAGACTTCGCCCGGTCAGTTCTCCTAGTGGTTACAAACCAAGCGGAGAGCACAGGCGTCACGAAGAAAAGTCGCGGTTGGGTGTGGTCCGGCAGAACGTGACCCTCGGGGCGCTCGAACAAGCCTCGGGGTCACTGAGCTCCTCCTGCTCACGGGTCACTCTGTCTGCACGGCCCCGGGGACCCGACCGCTCCACCCTCCTTGGTCTTCAGCTCACAAGGGACCTTGGCTCCTTTTCAGTGACGAAGATCATCTGTGCCCAGCAGTGTTCCGGGCGCTGCCGAGGCAAGTCCCCCAGTGACTGCTGCCACAACCAGTGCGCTTCGGGGTGCACGGGGCCCCGCGAGAGCGACTGCCTGGTAAGTCCCAGTTCTTCCCGGGCACCGCCCACCAGCCCCGCCCCCGTGGGCGGCGTCCCGGGCTCCAGATGCGGGGGTCCATGTTTGTAGTAGCAGACGAGGATGTCCCTTCGCCGGGGAGCAGAGCATCCGTGATAGTCCTGCCTCTCCCCCCCCCTTACTGTGTGACCTTGGCCAAATGCATCGACCTCTCTGGGCTTCAGTTTCCGCATCGGAGAATGGTAGAGAACAGACTGCCTGTCTGATACGTGGTCTAAATGACGTCACACACACGGCATTCGTCACTAGGCCCAGGCAGAGATGAGCACTAAATAAATACAAGTCACTGATTATTAAGGGTGATGAGCCACAGAGGTCTGAGGGGACCTTGCGCCCGATGCCAGTTCTGCTGGGATGGCAGCACCGGCTCCGTCTCACATTCTGTCCCCTCTGTGTTATTCTCTCCACAGGTCTGTCGCAAGTTCCGGGACGAGGCCACGTGCAAGGACACCTGCCCCCCTCTCATGCTCTACAACCCCACCACGTACCAGATGGACGTCAACCCAGACGGAAAATACAGCTTCGGCGCCACCTGCGTGAAGAAATGCCCCCGTGAGTCCATCGCACACGGACCCTCTCTTCCGGCACCCGTTTGCGTGTGTCTCCTGCCGGAACCCTGGGGTCCCCAGCTCGCGTGGTCCTGGGCGGCGTGTTTGCTCGTTGTCAGACATGTTACCGGGGGCCCGTCCGAGTGCAGATGACGGGAGGTCGCCGCCCAGGTGACAGGTGCGGCGGGGTGGCCAGGACAGGACACACACCTGTGGGCCAGCGCCCGGAACCGAGGGCCCACTGGGGTCGCCCAGAACGTTCAGCGGTCTGAGGGGCACAAACCCATGGCTACTGGGCCGCTTCACTCTTTGGCTCTTGTACCAAACGTACTTGATAGGCCCACCTTCCCGAGCGAAAGGATCCTCCCGGAGCTGTGCCCTCGGGACGGCCGCAGAGGGGTTTCTGTTTGTTGTTTTGTCTCATTTGCTGGGCTTTGGTCATTTCCATCTGCAGTTACCTCCTGACAGAAAGCGCGGGGTTGTCTGATGAGTGAGCTTTAGGGACCAACCTTGACTTGTCAAGGGGGAGACGAACCACGGACAACATCCCTCAAACACAGTGACGAAGGGGGATGTGCCCTTCCAGACTGACAGCGACGAAAACTGTGAACTTCTGGGCAGAAAAAAATGACACACCAGTTCAGAAACAGCCACTGGAAGGGAAATGACAGCGCTAAGGAAACGGTTGGCACAGTCATGACACGGAGATCGTCTTTGGAAGAGGGCTGACGGGGCGGTTGGAAACCCAGGGGGAACGCGCAGGGCCCAGAGGTCAGAGCGGACGATGCCCAGGCAGACGACCAGCGCCCAGTGACTGTGTCTGTGCACCTGCTGGGGAAGTCCAAGCGGGATCACGAGCCCCTGAAGAAGGTGACTGTGTGTTACGACCAACACCGGCACATCAGCTCGAGGGTGCGGAGGGGGAGGACCGATGCACCTGACCAGCGGTCCGCACCCCCAGGCCAGAGAGGACCGCAAGGCAGGGGCAGCCCCGGGGATTAAACACACTCCGGGGGAGCAGTGTTGGTGGAAGAGGAGTCCTCACTGAGGTTCACGTGTTTTTAATAAATACTCAAGTTTTAATCATCAGCCCTGGAGGCAGGACCTGCTAGAAACAATGAGCAGCGAAGAGGCGTTTTAATCAGGGGGTGTGGTGGGGGGGATGTTTTCTCCCCAATCCGTCTGCCCCCCTCCTGTGAGGACGTAGCTCTGTTTTCCACATCACGAGGCGATGAAAACTCTTGAACTCGACTCCTTTTCTGTTTGCGTTTATTCTTCGTCCTTCAGATAAACAAAACCAGGGGACGGTGATCCCTTTTCATCTGCCCCTTTCAGGACGACACAGACCCAGCGACACCTGGTGCTGCTTTTCACCACCTGCCTCTCCTGTCCCTCCCCAGGTAACTACGTGGTGACAGACCACGGGTCGTGCGTCCGGGCCTGCAGCCCCGACAGCCGCGAGGTGGAGGAAGACGGTGTCCGCAAGTGTAAAAAGTGCGAGGGGCCCTGTCGCAAAGGTAGGAGCCCGGGGCGTGGGCCGGCTTCCTGGGGCGTGGGGCTGGGTTCTCTGCACCTGCCCGAATCCTCGCCACTTGGGAGAGATGGGAGTAGATCGTTCTCCAGGCTCAGAAACACGGTTCTTCCTTTACACTGTGCCCTGTCCTTGGAGTGTCCTCAAGGCCAGGTTCTCTCCGCTTACCCCTACTGTGTCCCTGACTGTGTGAATTTTTACTCATCCCGGAGCAGTCGATAATTGTACGGTGAATACCCCTATGCCCTTCGCAGAAACTCACTGATTTTTCCTCCTTGGCCACGTCGCCTTCACTGTCTCCGTGTTTGTGTTCCCGTGTGTTCATGTGTGTGTGCGTGTGTGTATCCCCTGAACCATGTGATGGTGACAGACGTCACCTACTTTCCCGACAAGCAGGGACCTCCCCTGAGGAATGGAGGGCGGTTTCCCATGCACCCCGAGTTGAACAGCGACTAGTACGCTCTTCCGTGTTCAGCTCAACAGGAACTTCTCCCCGCTGTCCCGGGAAGTTCTACCTGTTCCCGCCCCGAATCCACTCAACACTTGTGGGCTCCGTTTGGACGTCCCGTCTCTATTCTTGGTTCATCAAGAACCATCCATGGGGGCCCCCCGTTTTCTTCCTTTACTGTTCCATGACCTGAGGCTGGGAAGGGCGAGGCGGGTGTTTAGGGTGGAGATGATGTTTGATGGACATTCAGGAGTGGACATGAGTTAAGAAGCCAGCCCGGAAAGGGACATTTGAGACTGTGTACCCACGAGGCGGAGACCAAAGCACTCGACTTACCTAAACTCTGGAAGAAAAGCGTTTGACCACCTGCTGAAAGGTGTTACAGAATCCCCTGTGATGGCACCTCTGACAGCCACTAGGAACCCTGCTTGTGACTAGTTTTGAGAACCAGCAGTCACAGCATGAAAAGTGGGGAAAATACAAAACACGAACCGCTTATCGAGGGTGCTCTGAGCAGCTTCTCTAGGAGACGTTGCTAAAATACTAATGACAGGTGCGGAACCGCTGGTCACTTCGTTCTGCTCTTCTGTGTTTTCAACGTTTTCTTAAGTGAATGCATCTTTTCGATTTGTGAGAACATGTGCGTATTTGTCCTTCAAGCTGGAAGACAGAGCTGCAGGCCAGGTCAGGGCGGTGGGAGGGCGGTGGAGGTGTGGTCGGGGGCGGTGGGGGCCGTGCCCAGGTCGGCGCCAACGGCACGTAGCGTGCTCTGGTCCCCGTGGGAGGTAAGGCAGAGGACACAGGTCCAGTGAGGACGGCGACCCGTCTCCTTCTCTAACCCCTGTGACCCCAAATCCCGCCACGGCTCCTGGTGCCTCCATCGGTGTCTGTTGAGTGGGTGGACGATGACCCGGCGGTGACCGATCTCGGGGTTGCACGCCCTCCCTGCTCCCCTCTGCCGGGGCGACCCAGCCACGCCGAAGTCAGCCAACGTGAGCGGGGCGACGTCTCCCCTCTCTTCACAGTCTGCAGCGGGATAGGAATCGGAGAATTCAAGGACACCCTTTCCATAAACGCCACCAACATCAAGCACTTCAGGAACTGCACCACGATCAGCGGGGACCTGCACATCCTGCCGGTGGCTTTCAAGGGGTGAGTGGCAGGCGAGGCTTCGGTGGGGAGCCCGGCTTTCCCCGCAGGTGGACGCGGGGGCGGTGACGTTCTGTGACTCGTTTCAGTGACTCCTTCACGCACACGCCACCTCTGGACCCCAAGGAGCTGGACATTCTGAAGACCGTGAAGGAGATCACAGGTGAGGACGGCCCGGGCCGCGTGGGAAGCGATGCGTCAGAGAACCCGAGACCGTGTTCTCCTCCCCTGGCATCAACGCCTTCTCCTGAAAGTCTCCGCGAGTGACCGAGATCCTTGACATTTCTCAGAAATGCAGTTTCCCCCGCGTGAGAGGGGTGAACACGGTACTCGGGGACTCAGGCTGACCCCCAGCCCAGGCCGGGTCCGAGAAGGGGTAAACCAAACGGGGGAGGGGACTTCATGTCCCTGCCTGGACTGGTCTGTGACGGCCAGCAAAGCCCTGGGCTCTTCATTCCCAAAAAGAACATAATTTGACCTAAATGACAGGATTGTTTTGAGGGATTGCATTAAATAAGGAAAATATGCCAACGTCCTTGTACGTAGTAACGGCTCGACCAGTGGCCGCCCTCATCCAGAGCCTGCTTGGAGTAATCGAATACGGAGCCCAGCGAGGCCCTCGGGCCACTGCCCATGGGGACAGTCTGCTGGTGGGGCTGGGTGGTGGGGACTCTGGGAGAGGCAGGGTGTACCCCGCAGCCTGACGTGCATTTGCGTGTGTGTACACACTCGGTGAGGACAATACAAAGAATCAGACCAGTGTTCACCTGTCCCGCCCATGCTGCATGCAGTCTGCTGAGAATCCTAGAATAGCATCTCCTACAAAACAGAAATTTCTGCCCAGCCAGTGTGGCTCAGTGGACAGAGCGTCATCCCGTGGACTGAGAGGTCCGGGTTTGATTCCCCATCAGGGCTCATGTCTGGGTTACAGGCCTGATCCCCAGTGGGGGGCGTGCAGGAGGCAGCTGATCGATGTTTTTCTCTCTAAAAAATAAAATCAATAGAAACGTATTTTTTAAAAAAAGAAATCTCTAAGCAGCGTGTCTCTGCGCCTTCCTTCGGCCTTCTAGGCTTTTTGCTGATTCAGGCCTGGCCAGAAAACAGGACGGACCTCCACGCGTTCGAGAACCTGGAGATCATACGTGGCAGAACAAAGCAGCTGTAAGTGGCCCCGGCCAAGCCTGGCAGACCCTTCCTCATTTTTTTATTTGCAAGTAAAACATACAGAAGTGTTGCAGAGATACCACGGGACTTGCCATACACCCTCCGGCCTGTCTGTGCCGGAGCTGGCGTCTCTCGAACCACGGTACAGGGACCAGAACGAAGGGCTTGGCGTCGGCACTGCTGTTAGCCACACTTTACCCGGGTCCCACCCGTTGTCTGTGACCGCCTCTGTGCCGCTGTCCAAGCCCGTGTTCACCGTGAGTTAGCTGTGTGTCCTCGTCCCTTGCCGCCTACAACAGTCCTTACATCTTTCCTTATCGTTCTCGGCCTTGACGTGTTGGAAAAGGACCGTTCAGGCTTTTTGTAGAGTGGCCGATGTGCCCTCGGGGTGTGAGGTGTAGAACATCACGGGTTTGTCAAGCGCAGGGATACACTCGATGATACTTGATCCCTGGGATGGTGCCAGGTGGCAACTGGAAACGTCGGGGGATCACTGTATGAAGGGTGTGATCGTCGAACCGCTGCGCCGTACACCTGAAATGCGTACAAAGAGCTGTCGGGTGTCACCTGTAACTGAAGACATTAAAAACGTAGCCCTGGCCACCCCCGGAGGAGCTCGGATTGTGGTTCGCAGATGACGGGAGCCCATAGGAAGGAGGTCTGCATTTTTAGGACGCTCGCTGGCATCAGGACAGGGAACGCAGACCTCCCTCCCATGGGTTCCCGTCGTCTGCGAACAGTCCAAGTCCTCCGTGTGGCGTCGAGGCCTTCATGCGCTGGCCTCTCCCACCCTCCCGGGCCCTCTCCCGGCCTCCCTGCCTCCACACTTCTGCTCCAGCAGTAGCGTGTGGTTGTTGGCACCTGCCACGTGCTCCCTGGCTTTCTTGCTTCTGCAGGTGTTCAGGGCTCCACTCCCTTTAATCTGAACAACGTCCACCCGTCATCTGACGGACATGTCAGGATCACCTTGGAGGACCGGCACAGTGTTGGGTGAAGAAAATAGCGTCGTTCCTTCTCCCGAGGTCCACACCGTCAGGCCTCACCTCTTCCAGGAGGCCCCCCTTCCTGCACAGCCCTCCCCGGACGTGTTTAGGTGTCCCTGCTCTTTGCCCCCGTGGTGCCCACTGTCACCACGCTCATGGTGCTGGGTTAGAATTATCTGCTCATCCGATTATATCCCCACTAGGGAATAAAGGGCTTCTTGAGCATAGAAAATATACACACCCACATAGAATTCGTCACATATCACCTCAGATGTTTGTTCAGTGGGTGGATGGATGGATGGATGGATGGGGACATGACCTGTGACTTTTGAAGTCTGTTTGGGTGTTTGAGGGATTAGAACGTGTTCTCCATGCCCAGGCAAAATAAACAGGCAGCAAATAAAACAGTGACACGGAGACCTTTATTCAGGCCCGAGCTAGCCACTGGGTTAAAGATACTCAGCGAACAAGAAACTAGCTTTTCCCTGGAGGAGCTCAAGAAAACAGTTGCAAGTTTCAAAAGTTACCGTTCAGACCTTTCGCAATGGGACTTACGGCCCCTGGAAGGCAGGGGATCGGAAGTGGTCCAGAAAAAACAAAATAAATCTTCCAGTGACGTCCTGTCTCCGTAATGTTCACGGCGCTCGCTCTCTTCTCCCCGATCCAGCGGCCGCTTCTCGCTCGCGGTGGTCGGGCTGAACATCACGTCTCTGGGGTTGCGCTCCCTCAAGGAGATCAGCGACGGGGACGTGGTCATTTCGGGAAACAAGAACCTGTGCTACGCGGACACCGTCAACTGGAAAAGGCTGTTCGGGACCACAAATCAGAAAAGCAGAGTCATAAACAACACAGACGGAAAGGACTGCAGTAAGTAGTCCCGTTGGTGGGCTCGCGGATCCGCGCGTCGTCTGTCTTGACGTAGGCTATGGAAGGGCCGTCCCCAAATGCTTCCGTTGCTGTTCTCGTTCCTGAAGTAGCCAGGTGAAGGACCCCCGCGGGTTCCTCTCGGTGACGTGCCCATGTGACGGTCCTCAGAATTGCTTCTCCATCCGCAGGCTGAGTCTGCCCCGGAGTCAGGATGTCAGTCAATTGTAATGAACAGAAATAAGTTCAGTGTTGATGATATTAATTTTAGCGAGAGCTTCCTCCCTGCCCGGTTCAGTCTCGCACCTCACTCCGGGCTCGTCCTGCCCCGTCCCTCTGGCTGCTAACCGCTGTCCTGTCCCCCCAGAGGCCCGAGGCCGTGTCTGTCACCAGCTGTGCTCGTCGGAGGGCTGCTGGGGCCCCGAACCCCAGGACTGCGTGTCTTGCCAAAACGTCAGCCGGGACAAGGAATGTGTGGAGAGGTGCAACCTTCTGGAGGGGTGAGGCGTTCTCTGTCAACCCCTTCGTCTTGACAAAGAAAATAAGACGACTGTGGTTTTTAGAGGGTTCTAGTCCTTCAGTCTGACTGTTTTTTTTTTTTCTTTTCCTTTTGTTTTTGTTTGTTGGTTGGCAACTATTAATCACAAAAGGAAAGGAATAACTCTTTTCATTCCTTAATCCAATCTAATACTTTATGGAGTCTCTTTTTCTGGAAATGCTTTATGCTTTTCTAAGCTGCACAAAGTTACCAGGACAAACGGAATGGTCATCGGCGGTTCGTACGGCCAAGACCATGGCCATCTGGTCTGTCCCTCGTGGTACACCGTCCCTGGCATGTCAAACCGGATTAAAACAAATCACATCCCCTGGTTCATTTTTCATTCATGTTCAAGAAACACAAAACAGCGCAAATCACTTTAACTAGAACCGTGCAGAAAGAAAGAAACTCCCATTAAATGCTTGTTGAGTTTATTTGCCATCGGTAAAAATCACAGTCCGTCAATTCCGCGCGGATCTCGGTATTGATGTGAGTCCGAATGACCACAAACAGTGACTGAAAATAAATTAATGACAAAGTAAAATTGAAGACTAGAGATTGGTAGGGACCATTTAAAAAACAAAAACAAAAAACTTTTTTTTGAGGGAAATTTTGTGAGAGGGAAGAGCCAGTGGAATTCAGATGTTCTAGGAAATCTTCCCTGGATTGGACCCAGAAATACCCAGTAGCAGGAAGACAGGACCGGGTTCAGTGCCCGAGGAAACCATTAGCTGGTGGGCTCACTGATCTCGTGGGTCATCTGCACACTTGTCAGCGCTGTTGAACCAGTCGGAAACCCCGGTGCACCTGACTGCCACAAATAGACACTCATCTCAGTTTTTAATGTTCCCTTCTTTTTAAAAAGACTAGGCACTGGGCCGGTGTGGCTCAGTGGCTGAGCGTTGACCCTGCATCAAGAAGTCACTAGTTCAATTCCTAGTCAGGGCACATGCCCAGGTTGTGAGCCCAATCCCCAGTGGGGGGCGTGCAGGCGGCGGCCCATCGATGTTCTCTCTCATCGATGTTTCTATCTCTCTCTTCCTCTCCCTTCCTCTCTCTCTAAAATCATTCAGGAAAAAATATATATTTTTTAAAAATAAATAAATAAAAAGACAAAGCAATTCAAAGACGTACACTGGGATGCTGGGTCTTCCCGCTAGTGAACCCTGGTATCCGGCAGCACCGGGTCCCTTTGTGGAACCGACTCCGCCCGAGAGTGTGGCGACCCAGAGCAGACGCACAGAGCAAAGCAAATGTGGCATCTTTGGTTTAATGGATGCCCTGTGCCCAAAAGAGAGGACTCCTGGGACACGTCTCCGGGTGTGCGCACCCCTCATTCACCGCCTGGCGTGGGGACCCGTAGTTCAAAACCAGCCAGGTGCCGGTGTTCCTCACAGACACACCCCGGTCTTCTCTCCGATCAGACCCCAGCTTCTTGCTGAACACTGACGCACACATCTTTGAGGAGTGGTGAACATAGTACAGGCACAATTCTGCACACCTGTGCTCCACGCTTACCACTTGGGGCCGTAACCATGGAGCAGACTGTAAGAGCTACTGTCCGTTTCCTGCAGCCGAATGTGAGGAGGCGTGACCATGCAGTGGAGGGCGCCGCTCGGGACCGTGTGCTCGGCCCGCCAGTTGGCTGCCAGCCCCTGTACCAAAGCAGCACCTGTAGGAACATGCAGGGAGATGTTCTGATGTTCAAGGAGGTGGATGTGTTTGTTTGGGGGGAATGTGGCCAGGGGTTCGGTTAGAATCCGGTTACTACATTACAGGCTAGTCGCGGGTCCTGACCGCTTGACTTTTACCCAAAGCTGTTGTGGATTTCCGAGGGAGGTGATTTGTGTGGCCTGAAATCTCAGACAGTGCAACCAGCCACCTGCTGAAGCAGGACCCCGGGGGTCACTGCTGACTGACCTCTCTCCCTCCTGCCAGCGAGCCCAGGGAGTTCGTGGAGAACTCTGAGTGCGTCCAGTGCCATCCGGAGTGCCTGCCCCAAGCCATGAACGTGACCTGCACGGGACGCGTAAGGAGCATGTTTCTTGTCATTCACCCGCACGTCACAGGGGCAGCCTCGCACCTGTAGACCCACAGCCGTGACCCGGCGACCCTTAGCTGCTAAGGACAGCCACCCAGGCCCCCTTCCCAGACGGGAGGCTGTGTGTCTCACCGGGGTCAGGCTGTGGTGGCGCTGAAGCCCTTCCGCAGCCCGCTGGCATGAGCACCCACCTTTTCTGCACCCTCAAACTTCACCACGACCACTCTCCCAACAAGAGAGCCAGGGGTGGGCTGGGCAGTGACCGTTTGTGTCCGTGACTTCCGATATCTGTCATTGGGCTTCCTCCTTCCACTCAACCACCATCGAGTTCTACGTAATGTCAGCGCATCATTTTCAGAGAATTTTAAAGAAAGGCCAGGCAGAACTTTTTGAAATTCAGTGTGAGAACCCCGTGTGCAGTAACGACGTTCGAAAGAGTGTCAGTGAGAGTGTGCACCCCAGAGTCAACTTGAGCACCTTACCAGGTGGATGGGGTGTCGTTGATTTGCCTCAGCAAGTCTGGCTTCCCACGAGCCCCCCTTTAACCACAGATGTGAGCTGCCTGACCAGTCTGGTGTCGCTGTACATGAAAGCCCGTCAGGGTTGTTTTGACAAGGCAGGGTGCACACAGAGTACCAGTCAAGTGTCATAAACTACACAGTACAGTTTCTTTGATGTTTTTATGTACTGTATGTGTTTAGGGTCAGGAAGACTTTACGCTACACTATTAACGGGTCACGTCAGGCGAACACAGTCACAGACGCACTAGTTTTGTGATCTAAGAACGTCTGCATTATTTGACTTTTTTCCACGGTCAGTGGAGAAGTAAACAGTTACTTCCACGAGAGCGATCCACGTGAGTGTCTTTGTCCACCTTGGCGCAGGGACCGGACAACTGTGTGGAGTGTGCCCACTATATCGATGGCCCTCACTGCGTCAAGACCTGCCCGGCAGGGGTCATGGGAGAAAACAACACGCTGGTCTGGAAGTATGCAGATGCCAATCACGTCTGCCATCTCTGTCATCCCAACTGCACCTACGGGTGAGTGACGCCCTGGCCCAGAAAAGCAGAGGCTGGAGAGCGGAAGGTTCCCTAGCTTGCAAGTCCGTAGACTGCAACATGTCCAGGGTTAGCAGGTGGCCCGGGAAGAGGTTTGTATTGGAGTCATTGGTTCGGGTGGTGCCCATGGTCCGAGCAGCAGCAAGAACATGCAGGTGGGCAGGTCACGGAGGGGGCGGGACTGTCTCTCGGCCTCCCGTGGTTTATGGGGACAGGGAGCCTGCGTGTCTGAAGCTGAGCCAGTGACAGGTGGGGTGAGCGCATTGTCCTGGCAGGTCTCCAGCGTTTCCACGCTTTTCTCCGGGTGGCTGGGGTGCACACGGCAGTTTTCATCGTTCTGCGATGCATGGAAGGTGACGTCCCCTGGAAAACTGCTCAAAGACACTTGTTGCTCTTAGCTAGTTGACTGCTAAGCCATCGCTAAGTAAATTCAGACGGTTTTGACGGCAATTGGCAGACGCGCGTTGAATGCATGTCTCACTTCCTGAAGTGGTAAATGGGGCAGTCACGCTGGACTTCCCCCAGCAACCGAGAGAGAAGCGGAGTGGTCATCGTAACCGTTCCCATCCTGTGTGCATCTCCTCATCCTCCACCTCCCTGGGAACTGATTCTTCTTTCTTCTCTCCATCAGTCTCTTACGTACTGGCCTTGAGCAAGTCTCTTCTCAGTCTTCTCATCTCTAAATTAGGATAACAGCACTGCCTAGCTCACAGGGTTCTTGTGATGTTGAGTGGATATGTTCGAAGTACATAAAACGGTACCTGGAGTGCGTGAGCCCTCCATCCGCGGTTCAGCCACGGAGGGGACGGAGCCGGCGGTGAGCTGGCAGTAACCTTGGTGGTGGTGGAGGAGGTGGTGTGTTGCCAGTGCTGGTGGTGGGGATGGTGGGGATTACACCTCTGAGAGTGCTGAGGGTGAGTGTTCTCGAGGGATGCAGCGCCTTCCCGTTAGACTTCCAAAAATCAGGAGTCTTGAAACGTTTTCTGTGTCCGAAGTTTTCCAAAAAATATTTCCACTGCATGTGCATGGGAGAGGCTGAGCTGCAGACATGTGACCTGGATTTGGGAATGACGGAGTCCCCTGGTCAGCGTCCAGCCTCCCGCCGGCCTGAGTTCCAGTCACTGGGGTGGGTGAATGGAAGGGCCCCCTCACGCCGTGACCCCGTGGGCCAGAGGTCGCAGTGCTAGGTGACTGAAAAGAAAATCCGTGGCCGACACGTGCGACAGCTGGGTGTTTCCTCTGTGGTTTGCAAATGAGTGGCCTCTCCCTCCTGCCGCCCCTAATCCACCGATTGTTCCAAATAATCTGGCAACATGTTGCCAAGTTTACTAGCAAAAGAAACAAACGGCAGACAACACCAGTCAATTCATCGGAATAGGGCTGAGCTTTTCATAGTCCTGTGTGTGCCCGTTCCGCCGTCTTCCGTTAGTGACTGTTTTTTGTCTTAGGCGACGTTGGTTTTCCTAGGAGATGACACTGTGAAGAGATGAGGTCCCGCCCTGGCCGGTTTGGCTCAGCGGTTAGAGCGTCGGCCTGCGGTCCAGACAGACCCGGGTTTGGTTCCCACTAAGGGCACGTACCTCGGTTGCAGTTTGTCCCCGGCCCTGGTTGGTCATGCGGGTGGCAACCACTCGATGTGTCCCTTTCACGTCGATGTTTTTCTCTCTCTCTCTTCCTCTCTCTCTCTTCCACTCTGTCTGAACAAAAAAAAAGGAAAAATGTCCTCGGGTGAGGATTAAAAAAAAAGAGAGAGAGAGATGAGGTCCACCTGCGCGTTGCCCTGACTGTCAAAGCCGGTGTGTCTGGGGTGGGGATGCAGACCCAGGCACAGTGCAGGGCGAGACCATAGTCTGACACCCTGGAAAAGAGGGTCTGCCGAGACCCTCAAAACCGAGAGGAGCAGAGTGTAGAAATCAGAGCCCTTGGGGTGAGATAGCAAATGTTTGTGATCAGCCCTGGCCGGTTGGGCTCAGCGATTGGAGCACAGGCCCGCGGACCGGAGAGTCCTGGGTTCGGTTCCCGCTAAGGGCACGTACCTTGGCTGCAGTTTATCCCTGGCCCCGGTTGGGGTCATGTGGGTGGCAACCAGTCGGTGTGTCTTTCTCACGTCAATGTCTCTCTCTCTCTCTCTCTCTCTTTCTCTCTCTCTCTCTCCCCCCCTCTCTCTCTCCTCCCTCTCTTCCTCCCGCTCTAACTGAAGATAAATGCAAAAAATGTCCTCGGGTGAGGATTGAAAAAAAAGAAAAGGTTTGTGATCAGAGGACAGTTTCACACAACCCCCCCCCCCATCCAGACCTCTTCATGTATTTGAACAGCACCCCTTCATCTTTCCCTAGGCTATACAATGTTTGTCTTTTCCTTTTAATTGGAACCTTTTGTTTTCCTATGGACATTCCTATTGGAGACTGTGGCCCACTGCTCAAGAGTCCCATTAGGACAGACGCTGCCCCTACCTCGTGTGGCTCTTCAGGGGTGTGGCCACGGATGACTGCTCTGGCTTCATCTGCCGTCATCACCCCACTTCCCTGCCACGGAGTCACGCCGTGGGCTCCCCCGGCCGCCCCTCTTTGAGGGGTGTGGCCCAGGAAAAGATTCGGTTCTGCCTGTGTTGATATCCGAAACCAAACTGTGGGACAGCGAAGCCTGGGTCCAAATTACACATGAAAGCATTTCAACAACGAGGACCGGAGGCCCCTCTGCTGTGATCAGTGCCAGGAAAGCCCCTGTCCCAGAGTAGACACTCGGACATGTTTGCAGAGTGGATAAGCAGTGGATAGACAGATGCGTAAGAAGCACATGATTACCCCCAAACTGAGGCGCAGTGTGGTGTCGATGCCGCGAGAGGACTGGGCCCGTCTCCGCTCTGACTGCACTGGACAGGGGAAGCCCAGCGTGCTGGGCGTCAGGAAGGGACAGAGGTCCCGAGCCCCCCCAGTCTGAGCCTCCACTCCAGCTGCCGCGACCGTGGCATCTGCTCAGCCCCTCCGAGCTGCAGTTTGCTCCCAAGACGATACGTGGGAGGGAGGACTCCCTTACGATTCAAGAGCGGCTCTTCGAGAAAAAGACGCTAAAGAAGAGAATGATCGAAATGTCTTTGTCTTTTTATTCCTACAGCTGTAGAGGGCCGGGTCTTGGACTCTGCAAGGGGAACGGGTAAGTGTGAGCGCTTTGTGCCCGATGGGCTTGGCGAGGATCGTGAATGCCTGGTGCGTGGCCGACTCCCCCTGCCTGGCCGGGTTCGCACCTCTGGGCCGGCTCAGCAGCCCCAGCACAGACCACCACCTGGGTCCACCTGCCGTGTCCACGGCCGTGTGGGGGTGCTTCAGTGGGGTGCCGCAGGATGGCATGCTCCGTGCCCACTGCTGCTTCCTAGCTGCCTCCCCCATGTCTTGGTCACACCTATGTCGTGGGGTCCTTCTCTTTCTCTAGCTTCCTCCCTGACCCAGCTGGCCCGGTCACAGACCTGTGTTTGAAGGACCTTTCTGTTCAAGGACAACGTCCCAGCTTGGGAGTTTCTCCCCGACCTCCTCTCTCAACCTGACCTCCACCCGCTTTTCAGTTCTGTCCAGTTTGCCATCTTTGCATGAAATGCTGCAGTGAGGTCGGCAAAGCTGGGCGTTCCTGCTCAGACCTAGCAGGAAAGAGCAGCAGCATCGATTAGTAACGTCCAGAGAGGAGGTGGAATTATACACCAGACACCTGCTCGCCATCCCGACGTCCCCAGATGCGAGCCAAAGTCCAGTGACCCCTGCCATTTCCGGTCACGTCTGCAGAATCCCTCTGTGTGTCCGCTGACTCTACCTCCCCCCACCCCCAGAATTAGTCATGATAACACATCCCGCCTCTCGAGACCAGAAAGGAGGCAGTTTCTCGGAGAGAGGGATTTCCTTCCATCCCCTCCTCTCCACTGAGCCTCAGAGGCACCCCAGCCCCCCATTTTTCGTGCCGGTCGGCATCTTCAGACTATGTAACCAGCTATTCTTACATCTCTCTCCGTGTTCCCTGCAAGACAGTAAAAACCCATGAATTCCAACTGCATCGACTGGCGAGTTGCTGCGGCAAGAGATGGCTCTTGCCCTCGCTAGGAAGAAAGGGCTGTAAATAGCATTTTCATGTACATTTGACCCGCCTAGGAGAAATTTGTAAGGATGATGTCTCTTTTTTTATTTTATTTTTTACATGCAATTAATCTTTGGTATTTGTTACCATTTCTGCCTGGAGAAGTGAACTTTGCCAGAAGCTGAAATGGCACAGATACTTAAGAATAATAACTTAATATTCTAAATTCAGAAATCAACTGATTCAGATGGTTCTCTCCCAAGTGAGCTTGGGAACCTGAGTTTCGAGGTTTCTTCTCTCTCTGAAGTCAGACTCAGCCTCATCCGAGAGGTCTGAGGCTGCAAGATGACACCGCCCATCTATGACAGCGATGCTTTCTATGTGACACCCCATCCTTGTGTAACTCCTCTGAGCTCATTCCACCCCTCACGTGGCCGTGGTCCCATCTTGAAAGCGAAGGACCCTCTCGGGAATCTCACCGTCATTGAAAGGGTCCCCCTACCCATCCTGGCCAGCAGACAGTGTGTGTTTGTCGCATGTGGAATGCTCTGTTTCCAACGTACAGAGATACAAATCCGTGTGAAAATCATTACTGAAGTCCGAGTTACTTTTTGAATTAATACGTTTTCTTAATTAACAAATTAAAATATAACCCTTGCTCTGGACAGTCTGGCTCAGTTAGTTAGGTGTTGCCCCATGCACCAAAAGGTTGCGGGTTCCATTCCCGGTCAGGGCCCATGCCTGGGGTGCAGGAGGCAGCCGACCGATGTTTCTCTCTCACATTGACGTTTCTCTCTCTTCTCCCTCCCTCCCTCCCTTCCTCTCTCTCTCTCAAAAAAAAAAAAAAATTCAGCCCTGGCCGGTTTGGCTCAGCGGTTAGAGCGTCGGCCTGCGGTCCGGAGAGACCCGGGTTCGGTTCCCGCTAAGGGCACGTACTTCGATTGCAGTTTGTCCCCGGCCCTGGTTGGTCGTGCGGGTGGCAGCCACTCAATGTGTCCCTTCACGTCAATGTTTCTCTCACTCTCTCTCTCTTCCTCTCTCTCCCTCCCACTCTATCTGTACAAAAAATGGGAGAATGTCCTCGGGTGAGGATAAAAAAAAAAAAAATCAATTAAAAAAATGTAGTAATTAAAAAAAATTTATGTATATATATTTATACATATTTATAAATAAATACAGCCCTGGCCAGTTTGGTTCAGCGGTTAGAGCGTCGGCCTGCGGTCCAGAGAGACCCGGGTTCGGTTCCCGCTAAGGGCACGTACTTCGGTTGCAGTTTGTCCCCGGCCCTGGTTGGTCGTGCGGGTGGCAACCACTCGATGTGTCCCTTCGCATCGATGTTTCTCTCTCTCTTTCCCTTCTTGTCTCTCCCTCCCACTCTATCTGTACAAAAAAAAATGGAAAAATATCCTCGGGTGAGGATAAAAAAAAATAAAAAAATAAAAAAATATAAATAAATACAGATGGATGATAGATAAAATCATTATATGGAGAGGGCCAGATGACACCTCGATTTACAAGTGCAAAGCAGGCAGGTGGCTGGAGTAGGGACGGAGCTGGGGACACTGCCCTGGAATCCTTGGCTTGCTTTTCTCCCGTTAGCAGCCGCACGGGAGCCGCACTTTCTGCGCGTTTTAAATGAGGTCAGCGCATCAGCAAGTGCAGGAAATGTGCGACATGCAAATGTCATGAAATCTGTGACAAATCTGACCTTCCCGTGTGTCTGCACCGCGTTCTAGGCCCAAGATGCAGCCCATCGCCATAGGGATCGTGGGCGGCCTCTTCCTGCTGCTGACCGTGGGCCTCGCGGTGGGCCTGTTTCTGCGCAGGCGCCACATCGTCCGGAAGCGCACGCTGCGCCGGCTGCTGCAGGAGAGGGAGGTGAGCGCGCACCTGCCCCGGAGCCCGCCCCGCCCCCCCCCCCGGACCCTCGCCTACCCACTCAGGGTGGAGGGCGCCCTGCGTGGACAGTTGAGATTTTGCGTTTTAAGTGTGCCATTGCATCATTATGCTTGCTTGCTTGTGATGGCAAAACCAGAAAGAATGCCAATGTCCGATTGGTACCTGTTGGTACCTGACACCCGCCTCCCGGGGCACGCAGCGTGGAGGCTGAGCAAACGTCACTGTCACTCACCCTTGTCTCCCACAGCTCGTTGAGCCCCTGACACCCAGCGGAGAGGCGCCCAACCAAGCCCTCTTGAGGATCTTAAAGGAAACAGAATTCAAGAAGATCAAGGTGCTGGGCTCTGGCGCGTTCGGCACAGTGTACAAGGTGAGGCTGCCCGAGCCGGGCACGGGCCCTTGGGGGACTTGGGCTGGCAGTGCCTCACATTATGGGTGAGCGAAGAAGAGTCCTCGGCTGTCATCTGCTTATGTCATCCACTCTTTGTGCGGAGGGTTTGGGAAATTCCAGCGTTTTTATCTTTTATAGTCACCGTGCCAAGGAAGTGGTCCTGTGAGACCTGTACACAGACATTTTTACAGAAGGTGGCATTGGCCTTATAGAGGGGTGGGTAGCACAGGTGGAGTCTCAAGGACAACATCCGAATAAAGCCCAGGTCACAACGACTTCCTCTTAATTCGTTTTTTTCTAGATCCTCCGCATCAAGTCTGATTTCAGTTAGACGCGGTATCTTAGAATTGCAGAGGAAATGGCGCACGGTGGCTTTGTAATTGGCCCCAGCGTAGGGTTATTGAACTACTCCGATCCATGGAGCGTGATCACTAAAGAGCTGCTGATGTGGGATGGCCCCCAGCACCCATGGCCTTGGAGTGCAGAGCTGGGCTCTTTCCCTTGCCCTTCAGACCGTGACACTAGTGACCCCCATGTTGCTTGCTACAATGACTGTCAGCTAATGTCTTCTCTCTCGGTCGCAGGGGCTCTGGATCCCAGAGGGTGAGAAGGTTAAGATCCCCGTGGCGATCAAGGAATTGCGAGAAGCCACGTCTCCCAAAGCCAACAAGGAAATTCTCGACGTGAGTTTCTGCTTGGTCCTCCCCTAGCGGTGCACAGGGCTGCTGTCAGAGCCTCGTTTCTCCTGACTGGCAGCCTGGTGCTCTGCTTTAGCCTGTCTTCGTCACCACCCTCCGAAGGGTCGCGTCTCGTGTCTTCTTTCCTTCTGGCTCTAGTCGGTAGCAGTCCCCCGAGGCCTTCTCTCATGGAGACGCCTCACCTCTTCCATTCTGTTATCTCCCCTACAATCGCTAGCCAGGCAGCTCCTGTCTCCACACCAGCTGTACACACACGACCGCACCTGCTGAACTCGGGTGCAGGTGTTCGCTCAACACTCTTTCGATGACGAAACGGAGGCCTCAAGGAACATGCTCAGGTGCACAGGGGTGAGGTGGGACTCAGCTCGCCGTCGCGTCCGACTCGGAAATTCACATTCGCCTTGGCTCCATCGCGCTAGCGCCTCGGCGCAGTGACTTTTCGAACATGCCTCGAGTTAACCATGTGATGTGGCAGCAACTCTGAAAAAGGTCACCCGCCTTCTGTGCTTTCTCCCAAAGTGACTTCAGGCTCTTCGGCATCTTCAGACTGTTACTCCGTGGAGGAGTCTGTGGAATGTTCCGCAGAGTATCGTGTTTTTTTTACTTTTGTGGACGTAAGAAAAGTTCAAACCTGCGGAGAGTTTTTATGAGTTTGTGTATTGGAGCCTAACTGACGACAGCTGCCGGGAAGCAAGATCTCAACGGATTGAGAAAATGCCCCTCCGGAGAATGGCGGTTTTACAGCTTATTTTATACACTAGGATTAAGGGAGGAGCCGGAGGAGGATGACGTGAAGTCCATTGGTGGTAGATGAGGGGGGCGGGGGAAAGCACAGCTGGCCAATCTCTGGGAGTGGATAAAAGAGTAAAACGAAGAGACCTGCACTTCTTTGCCGTACTTCTTTTATCCTGTGGGTACAGGATGTTCATTAACATGTACAGGACAGAGAAATGGGATGGGGGAACAGGGTGATCATGAGGGGTCCCATGGTCTCAGCTTCTGGGTGGGAGATTGTGCCCTGAGGGCTCTAGAAAAAGGGGATTACTCTGACCTTTCAAAGGCGTGTTATCTTCGATGCAAAAAGACAACGGACAGCCTCACTTAAGGTGCAGACTGACCTTTGTCAGGGAAGCTACAGGCCTAGGCCGTGACTGTCCGCCACGGCTTGTTTTCAGTTAGGAGGTTTTATGTTTTGACCATCTGTGTGGTTCCTCTTGGTCTCGGAGTTTGTCAGGCTCGGTGTGTGGCACCTTTCGACCACGCTTTCAGTATGTTGAACGTCCCCCACCTCTGGACCACGACTAGCCAGCGAGGGGCTGCAGACTCGGGTAGAGGCGGCTGTAGGGCAGAGCCCTCTGCAAGCAGATGCTCCGGGAGCCCAGCGGGCACCCCTCCAGGGTCTGTGGGTCACAGCCCTGGCCTCCGCTTGCTGTGCGTCCATGACGCCTCTTCCTTGTGCCGAGGCAGCGCCTGTGAACGAGGAGGAGAAGAGGCTCGGCGGTGGGTCAGGGAAACGGGATTTCGTTCGTCTTTCAGCCAAGCAGGGCAGAGGTCGGAGGGGACAGTCCCCACGCAGGCCTCTGACCCGCAGAATAGACCTACAGCAAGCCAAGCCAATGTGGACCTTCTGAAAACGTGTTTGGAGACAGGGACTTCCCAGGGGCAGTCTCCCTCCATCTCACAGTCCCCAGGCAGCCGTCCCTGCCTCCTTGTGGGGGGACACCCCCCAGCACACCCCTCAATGGAAGACACCGCCTTCATGAAGTGCCGTCCAGAGCCTCCCACATCGATGATACACTTATCAAAGGACATTATCTTCCGTTGTAATGGTTCACGAATGCATGTGAAGTCTTATTAACGTGGTGTCAGCTCCTGTTAACGGAACCTCGAGGGCTGGAGTGGACGGGACCCTTGCGAGGCACCTCCCCTACGTCTCCAGCGCCCTCACCTCTCCAGTGAACAAGGACCCCTTCCCACTCCACAGAGGAAAGGCCCATTTCCACAGTGCTGACAAGGCAGAGACGAGTTGATTTTGAAGCCAGTAACCACGCTTTGGGAAGGAAGCAGTTTTCACTGAAAAGGGACCCCCCCCCAGAACCCTTAAAATTGGAGGAAACATGCATTTGTGGGACAGAGAAATGGACGATAAACACCCTCTGGGGCTCAGCACCTTCTTTCTGATGTTCAGGTGCACCTTCTAAAGGATTCTACTCACCTGCTGTCTCTCACCCCCGTGGGTCAGGCTCCAAGACCCTGCCAGCAGCCCTGTGGCTCTGGCCTAAGTTGTTCTTAGTGGCTTAGTTAACTGGTAAAGTTTCAAAATTGTAGGATACCACTCTGGCTGGCGTGCGCAGTGGTTAGAGCGTTGGTCCTCGCACTGAAGGGTCATGGGCTTCCTTCCTGGTCAAGGGCACATACCTGGGTTGCAGGTTTGATCCTCAGCCCCAACATGCAGGAGGCAGCCAGTCTATGTTTCTCTTTCTTGCTCCCTCTCTCTCTCTCTCTCTTCCCCTCCCTCCTTCCTTCCCACCCTCTCTAAAAATCAATGGAAAAAATACCCTCAGGTGAGGATCAACAACAACAAAAAAGGGTACCTACTCCTTAGTCTTAAAGTGAGGCGTGCCCCCGCTGAAGGAGGTGAGCACCGAGTGGGGTCCTTTTCCCAGCGCCTACCATCAAACAGCTCTCAGATGGGGAGACAAGCCAGAAGGCAGGCGCCAAAAATCATCCTGGCAACTGGGGCAAAGCAACAGACTTTCCAGGTCCCCAGGCCTCAGAGACACCCCTGCCATGTGACTCGGACATCTGCCTCCGTAGGCTCTGCCTGTGCCCGGCAGGGCGGCCGCGGGGAGCCGGCTGTGGGGTACCAGGCGTGCTGCCGGGGGTCACTGAGCCTCTGAGAGCCCAAAACAAACCGCGAGGAACAAAGCTTGTCACTTCTGCACACACTGAAGGGACCCGCGGCCAAAGGGCGTCTCCATTGTGTCTGGGGGCGGGGCAGAAGTGACCTCCTGGTTCTGTGGCCCTATGGGGTTTTAACGGGATCAGGACCTGGCGGGGCTCCAGGCTCTGTGGGGCCCGACCCCCCAGCCAGGCTCAGTTCCCTGTTCCCAGGCCCAGGCCGGGCCCCCGCAGCTGACTGCTCTGCCCGCACCTTTTTCTCCCTCCAAAACGAATGCAGTATGTTTCCAGATCGCAACCAGATCTTGAGGAAGCGGGAGCCGCCTGGGTGTTGTGGTTGTACCGGCTCCCAGACTCGGGAGAGACGTGATCTGTGCTTCTCGGGCAGTCACGTGGCCTGTTCGTTTTTCCATGGACTTCCCCGGTTAAATTTAGGGCAGGCCGTGGAAGGAGAATGCGAAACAGACTGGCACACGCGCTGTTGCCAGCGTCCGGCTCTCTGGCGGCCGCTTAGCCAGAGCCCTTGGCAGGAGACCTGCCCTGGGCCTGGCTCCGCGCTGGGGACGGTGGTCTCCGGTCAGCCGCTCGCTTCTCTGGGCCTTGATTCTCTCTTCAGACAAATGCGGCCTCGGAGGAAAGGCTCGCTGGGGCCCTGTCCTGTCCCAACGTTTTGTAAACAGCCCTTCTCAGAGAAAAAGGCGTGTGAGTGTCCGGAGGTGAGAAGTGTCTCCTTGGTGGTGTGATGTCAGGTCCACGTGTTAAAGAAACGCAGCCGCTCCTGGAAGGAGCGAGTCGAACCAGTCAGGAAGGCATCCAGCTAAGTGCTGCGACCCGGACGGAAACTGCCGCGTTCCTGTGGCGGATGGAGGTGCGGTGGCCCCGTCTCTGACTCTCCGGCTCCTGGGCTCGGGCAGTTCTGAGGCAGCCGTGTCTGGCACCCCTGGAATGGAGAGAGGAGGGGAGATCCAGCGCTCCCGCCAAGTGCTGACCACTCTTGCTGAGTCAGCAGGAGCACAGCGGGGTGGGGGCGGGGATCCAGGCAACGAATAATCAGCGCTGGCGGCGCCGTCCAGAGTGGGGCCCGGGCGTGTCCCAGGAGCTATGCACAGCCTTCCCCCGAGGGCCTGGGGAGGAAGGAGGCTTCCCCAAGGGCCCCTCGCTGTGGACGCTCCCAGGCACTAGTTCTGACAGGCGGATCGCTGGGCCCCGCCTCCCTGCCTCTCACTGTGGCCTGAGAACAGGCGTCTCTAACTGGGCCCAGCCTGCTCCCCCAAGGACAAGCCGTGCGCGCCAGGAGAGTTGAACCCGGATTGGGGGTCGGGAGGCTTCCCTGCAGAGGAGTCAGCCAAGGGACAGGAGACCCAGGACCTTGCAGGGGTAGGAGGGACCAAGGGGGGATGGGCAGAACAGGGCAGGAGGACCGGAGGGGCTGTGCAGGCGGCGCCGGGAGGCGAGGCCCCGGGCTTCCCAGGAACAGTGAGGCGGGGGAAGGGTAGAGGCCCCCACCTCTGTCTCCTGTCTTCCACCTCACATGCCCAGCAGCCCCAGGTGCCTTCACTCCTGCCGCAGAACCTGGCTGCCCCTCTGCCCCTCTGCCCACAGGAGTGGCTGCGATGTACAGAGGAGCCTCTGACCTTTCTCCTGCAGACCATGGCCCCTGTTGTATCAGAAGAAAGAGTCCGACGTATTTTAAAGGGAGAGAGAGGAAGGATTTATGGGTGGAAATCAAGGATTCCCTAAACCAGCGGTTCTCAACCTGTGGGTTGCAATCCCTTTGGGAGTCAAACAACCATTTCCGATGGTCTTAGGAACCGAGACACGCCCCTCGTCCTCTCCAGGGGGCTCCGCCCACTGCAGACACGCCCACAGACAGCAGGAGGAACTGTATCAAAGGGTCAGCATTAGGAAGGGTGCGAACCGCTGCCCCAAATGCTCACTGAAGCGGAAGGGGGCCCCTTGTGCGCATGGCCATAAGCAAGACAGCGGAGGGTTAGAGCTCAGTCTCTGTCCACCGTCCGGCAGCCAGCCCACGAGTGGGGGCTGATTCTTGCAGCACAGTTTTCCTGCCACGTGGCCCCCCTCTGTGTAGAATGAATCCCGCGGCCACCGAGTCTGCCGCGCTGCAGACCTCACGCCCTCGATGCGTGGTGAAGCTTGAGACGGGTGTCCTGAGGGCTTCTCTGCCCCGGGACCACAGCAAGCCCGCGGCCCAGGCAGGGACACGCAGTGCTCTGCTGAGATGTGCAGCCTCCCTCGGCCACCTGCGGGCTCAGGTGACCTCCGCTGGAGCTCCCGCCGTCACCGTGGGTAGTGCCTGTCCGTAGCAAAGGTTCAGGATTCCTGGGAAAGTCCTATCCGGGGTTGGGGACCCTGACATTTTAAACAGCAGCATCTTTAACCTCGAGGCAAAGGTCTTCACAATGAATGCCAGACTCGGGACAGCAGGTCCCTGCTGCCTGGGGCTCCCTGAGGGCCCCCAGGAAGGTGCCCGCTTCACAGAGGGGTCATTCCACAGCCTGACACATAGAAGACCCTGCGGAAATGTCTGTCTCGTGGGCTGGCTCGTCCTCCCCAAGTACACAAGAAACTCAGAATCGTGTTTGTGCTTCTTGACCTGGAGAGGGGTCTGCCCGCCTCTCCCTTTAGCCCTACGGGAGCCTTTCTGATGCCATCCTGTCCTCCCACCCACGCAGGAAGCCTACGTGATGGCCAGCGTGGACAACCCTCACGTGTGCCGGCTGCTGGGCATCTGCCTGACCTCCACGGTGCAGCTCGTCACGCAGCTCATGCCCTTCGGCTGCCTCCTGGACTATGTCCGCGAGCACAAGGACCACATCGGCTCCCAGTACCTGCTCAACTGGTGTGTGCAGATCGCCAAGGTAAACCACGGGCACCGCCCGGCCCCGGCGCCCGGGACGCGGTCATTCGCGGGGCCCACACGGGGTGGAGTTGGGTGCCTTCTGCCCCCAGCCCATGCCTGCCGCGTGGCACACTGAACATCGGACGACCCAGCTCCATCTGGACAGTGTCCTCCGCTGGTGCTCCGTGTGGTTTGATGTCAGTGCCTCCATTGGTCTGGGTTCTTTCCGCTGGACACTGCGGTCGTTTGTAAGAGCGGAGATGTCTGTCCCGCCTTTGGGACGTGATAACAAGGCAAGCAAACCCGGCTGAGGCTGGGAGGACTCGGGTGGCCAGGAGGACAGGCGGGTGCTGGGTTCGAGGCCTGGTGCTGCTCTGTTGGGGCTCCGTTGGCATCTTCTTGCTGACAGGCTTGGTCCGGGGGGGCGGGTCTGGCAGTGCAGACAGTGGCCCGGTGGCCCCACCTGTGTGCTCGGGACAGGAGCAGAGCCGTGAGCCAGGTCGTCAGCTGCGCATCGGCCACACGGGAGCTGCCGCAGTCCCTGGGCCGAGCTCAGTCCCTGGCGGTTGCGGGTGGTTCTCTGTGGGTGTTACCATGTCACCTCCCAGCTGCATGGCCTGCTGCCCCTCACGCGCTGCACGGCTCGGCTTGGCGTGGAAGGTCTCTCGCAAGTGGCTGTGAGTTCTTGCCTGCGACACATTGCTTTCCAATTCTCAAGAGCCGCTGTGTCCCAGGAGCTGTAGGGACCAGTGTCCTCCCTGGAGGGGAAGGAAAACAACGGCCTTCTTGGTCGTGAAGAGAGACGTCTGCTCCTGGGTTAGGGACTGCTTACCTAAGGGTTAAACACGTTTCTTTGTCCAAGTGTGAAGCGAAACGACCCCAGAAACACTTGGTGGCCGACCAGAAACTCAACTCCTGGCCTTTTCTAAGTGGGATTTGTCGACTTGTAGATCCCTGCGCTGGCTCACCAAGGCCTGGGGCATCTTGGGAAGTTGTCTCAGCATTGACGGGAAGCTCGTTTATTGTCCCGGCTACACTGCCAAGAGGACAAATAAAATTGTATCACCCGGGCGAAAGGAAAAATAATTTAAAAAGAAAAATAGAAAGGACCAAGGGAGGAAAAGGGGACGGGCCTGGCGGGGGCAGAAGGAAGCCACACCCCGTGCTGTGTGCGGTTCTCCGCGGTCAGGTCTCAGTCTGGGGGGCTTGTAGGGTCATCGCCTGCCCACCAGTCAGAGGGTCGTTTCCTAAACTCCTGGCTCAGGCGGGCTTGGGGGGCTGTCACTAACTGGGAGTAACTTGGTGACTTCAGAACCAGGCTGCACATCCCAAAACGTATCACATGGCACAGGCGTGTCGTCCCCCGGTCTAAGTGGTCACTTCGGTCTGGGAGACAGCGCTGCTGGGCCACACTCTTCCCCTCGGTCCCCTCTTCCTGCACCCCTCAGACAATGGGGCTTTCTCCTCGCCCCACCCAGAGGACGCTCGCACACGGCGAGTTTTCACACAGACGATGAAGTTTAAGGTGCTCGAGAGCAGGCCCCGGTGAGCTTTGCAGAGAGCTGTCCGAGAAGGGAGAGGGTCGCGGAAAGAAACCCATGTCTGGCCATCACCCATCATTCCCTGACCACAGCTGTGTAAGCACCAAGCTCTGCTTCGTCCAGCTTTTCGTTCAAAGGATTCATTTTCCAAGCACCCTTGATTGTGGGGAAACTGAGGCATGGGGGGTCTCACTTGCCAAGGCCTCGAGCTGGCAAGTAGCAGACTTGGGGTTTGACACCAGGCAGCCTTGTTCCCAGGTCCGTGCTCCTCACCCACACACGGCACCTCGGCTCAGGGCAGAGCACCTCAGGGCAGAGCCCACGGGTCAGCGAGCTGTGCCCGGTGCCCGCATAGTCCCTGTTAGCGCCCACAAGCTGGCCCGCGAGGACCTTCTGTCACTGTCCTGCCTCTTCGGGGGTAGGGCTCAGCGGTGGGGAAGCTGTACTATTTTTTTTCTTTACTGATTTTAGAGAGAGGAAGGCAGAGAGAGATGGAAACATTGATGAGCGAGAACATCAACGGGCCGCCTCCTGCACGCCCCCCACTGGGGATCGGGCCCACACCCTGGACATGTGCCCTGACCTGAAGCCAGCTGGCGACCTCTTGGTGCAGGGCCGACGCTCAACCACTGAGCCCACCGGCCGGGCGGAAGCTGTACTATTGACTTCACTGCGCCAGGAGCATCTGCTATGCTGTCTGCGTCCTGCGCTCCTCCACCCCGCCCCTACACGTCAGCGTGCACCCCGCTTCTCATGTGGGGGTTCTCTCTCTCAGACTCCTCCCAAGGGCTGTGGGATGGGATGTGGCAGCCCCTGGGAAAACAATCTGTAAATGTCCCACGCAGCCACCCTGCCAAGAAAGTCTTTCCGATCGTGGGCAGCCTGTCCCTGGGCCCCTTTCGTGCGGAAGTTTGAGGCCGGCTCTTCAGACCCCCTTTAACCTCAGCATTTCAGAATCCATCCCAGCTGGCCTGCCGTAATTAACGAGAACAAACACGCTAACTAAACGGAAGTGAGGACCTCCAACCAGGAAAGGAGTTTCCCACGAGGCCCTGCGGGCGCCGCTCCCTGCGGTGGCTCCGTTGCGGAGCCGGGAGTTCGGCAGCCATGCCGCGGCCCTTACCTTCGGGGCCGGTTAAAATGTCGCCCTGCCTGCCCGAGCTGGCCTTTCAGAGTTGCCTCTGGAGTGCGGGCAGGGACCAAAGAATCTAGGCTTATCTAAATTCCAACAAGCCTAATCTGCTTGTCCCAAAAGTATCTGGGATTCAAACTCCTCCGGCTGATTAGCTGTGGCCCAGGGACATGGAAACTGCCCCTCCGGCCCCTTCCCCGAGCCTGCTGCTGGGAGCACATCACAATTGTCCACTTGCTCTGGCCCTTTAAGGACCTGCTGGGCGGGGAGCAGGGAACAGGGTCCAGTTACTGGATTTGCATGGTACTCAGCGGGCTGGGCCGTTGGTCTTTGTCTGGTTTGGTTTTTTACATCCCAAGCAGCCTCTGAGCCAGAGGCGGGTTCATCTTGGAGGCCCCTGCAGGAACTTTGGGGCACAGGCCTGGCGGTGGTCTCGGGGTGCAGAGGACGTGGTGTGTGAAGAACCACCCCAGCTCCTGCACCTTCTGGGTCGGCTCTCAAGGCAGTCATGTGGCTGCCGGGACTGCCGGAACCTTCTAGAAGAGGCTTGAAATGCCAGGCACGTCCTGAGTGTTCGAAATCGCCCGTGGCTGCGCCCATTGATTCGTTCCTTCGCGCATCTTCCACCACCGTTTGTGAGGTGTCCGGCGCGCCCGGTTCTCCGATGGGCATTTCAGAGGCAGGATGAAGTTGGTGATGGAGAGCAGCTAGAAGTGCTCTCTCTGAAGTCCTCCTTGGGGGTTGGAGGAGCCCACAGAAAGGGAGAGGGTGACTGGCCCCATGTGTAGGGACTTGGGTGTATTCCTGTGGGTGCATCCGCTACACGACACCTACCGCAGAGGCTGTCTCAGGACATGTGAGCTGGCGGTCAGTAGGACACAGGATGGAAGGGGAGAGAGGGAGCCAGAGGGGTGGGGAGAAAGCCTGGGGCAGGGAGGAGAGGACATCGAGGGAATACAGCCTGCAATGCAGACAAGAGGCCGAGCATAACGGACCCTTCTTGAATGGGGGAGCCCGTCATATTTAATAAATAGAAGCCTTACTCTTTTGTAAGAGACAAGGGGGACCCCGCACAGACACAGTCAGGGCCCAGGACTGAAAGGGGAAGGGGCCCTGGAGCGGTGGCGGAGCAGTCCTGAGCCCTCTGCTCAGAGCCCTTCCTCAGCCTCCCCCCCTCCCGCCCCACCTGCTTTCCAAGCAGTAACTCCCAGTGGGCGTGCTGGTCCAGGGACCCGCTAGCTGCCTCTTGAGTAGACACGAGCCCTGCTCCTATTTCCTGGCACTGGAGAAGTCTTAGGAGGGAAGCATTTAAGCCCAGCTGGTGTGGCCCAGTGGACTGAGCATCGACCTGTGGGTCCTGGTTTGATTCCTGGTCAGGGCACATGCCCGGGTTGCGGGCTTGGCCCCCAGTAGGGGGCGTGCAGGAGGCAGCCGATGGATGTTTCTCACATTGATGTTTTTATCTCTCTCTCCCATCCTCTCTCTCTCTAAAAAATTAATAATAAATAAAGTGCTAAAAAAAGAGAGAGAGCCCTGGCCGTTTTGGCTCAGCCTTAGAGCGTCGGCCTGCGGTCCTGAGAGACCCGGATTCGGTTCCCGCTAAGGGCACGTACCTCGGTTGCAGTTTGTCCCCGGCCCTGGTTGGTCGTGCGGGTGGCAGCCACTCGATGCGTCCCTTCACATCGATGTTTCTCTCTCTCTCTCCCTCTCTCTCCCTCCCACTCTATCTGTACAAAAAATGGAAAAATGTCCTCAGGTGAGGATTAAAAAAAAAGAGAGAGAGAGAGAGAAGAAAAAAAGGAAGCGTGTTAAGTCAAACAGCATCCTCAACATTGATTCCGGAGCTTTCTGGATAATACCAGGGAGAAGGGAGACATGGGAATCCATTATTTTTTCCCAAGAAAAGACAAACGTGAAAGACCTCGAAAAGAGCCCTCAAAGACGAATTCCTGGTGGTAACTCCATAGATTCTAGTTTCCTGTGATGGCTAGTTTTGCTCTAGAAAGAAAATTTTTTTAATTTCGCTCTGCTATGACAAGCTAATAATTCTCACCTGATACCTATGCAAAAGGAAGCAAAGAATTTGCCAGGAAATTGGGGTGGGGGGGTTTGCATCTGAGCCATTGCATTACAACAGAGACCCCTGCACAGCCGCAGACGAGCTAGAGAGTCCGGCAGAGTCGGCTAAAGCCGCCTGTGCCCGTTTCGCGCACCTCAGGCTGCGTCCTGCACTGCCCGCTCTCGGCCGGAGAGTCATGAGTATCAGCTCTACGGGGAGAGGGCCATGTCCCCTGTCCTGGCTGGGGAGAGGAGGGGTGCGCTGTAAGTGGGAGATGTCTGCAGAGCCGGACCCCCCTGCCGCGCCGAGTCCCTCCTGCCACCTGCCCTGACCGGAGAGCTGCCTGCTCGGGTCGGCAGCTGAGCTCAGCGGGACCCGCAGGAGCTCAGGTCAGAGAGGCAGGTGGAGAGGATGCGCCGAGGAAGTGTGTGTGGCAGACGGCAAGCAGGCTGTGGGCAAGGGCCGGGGTTCGGGGGTCCCCAGGAATTCCTCCTATGTCAGGCCCTGTGCCAGGTGCTTCTCAGCTACATTTCCTACTTCCTCACAGCGGGGTAGCTAGCGGGCCGGTGGAGCAGGAACCTCTACAAGCAAATCAGTAGCCCCGGTTTCCATTCAGAACGAGAAGCGGGGCGGGAGCGGACAGAGGGGGGCGGGAGCGGACAGAGCGGGGGCGGGAGCGGACAGAGGAGGGCGGGAGCGGACAGAGGAGGGCGGGAGCGGACAGAGGGGGGCGGGAGCGGACAGAGCGGGGCGGGAGCGGACAGAGCGGGGGCGGGAGCGGACAGAGCGGGGGCGGGAGCGGACAGAGCGGGCGGGAGCGGACAGAGGAGGGCGGGAGCGGACAGAGGGGGGCGGGAGCGGACAGAGCGGGGGGGGGGGGCGGGAGCGGGCGGGAGCGGACAGAGCGGGCGGGAGCGGACAGAGCGGGGCGGGAGCGGACAGAGCGGGGGCGGGAGCGGACAGAGCGGGGGGCGGGAGCGGACAGAGCGGGGGGGGGGGGGGCGGAGCGGACAGAGGCGGGGGGGGGGGGGGGGCTGGAGCGGGCGGGAGCGGACAGAGCGGGGGGGCGGGAGGCGGGGCGGGAGCGACAGAGCGGGGCGGGAGCGGACAGACGCGGGGCGGGAGCGACAGAGGGGGCGTGAGCGGACAGAGACGGGGCGGGAGCGGACAGAGCGGGGGCGGGAGCGTGACAGAGCGGGGGCGGGAGCGACAGAGCGGGGGCGGGAGCGGACAGAGCGGGGCGGGAGCGGACAGAGCGGGGGCGGGAGCGGACAGAGCGGGGGCGGGAGCGGACAGAGCGGGGCGGGAGCGGACAGAGCGGGGGCGGGAGCGGACAGAGCGGGGGCGGGAGCGGACAGAGCGGGGGCGGGAGCGGACAGAGCGGGGGCGGGAGCGGACAGAGCAGGGCGGGAGCGGACAGAGCGGGGGCGGGAGCGGACAGAGCGGGGGCGGGAGCGGACAGAGGGGGGCGGGAGCGGACAGAGGGGGGGCGGGAGCGGACAGAGCGGGGCGGGGAGCGGACAGAGCGGGGCGGGAGCGGACAGAGCGGGGGCGGGAGCGGACAGAGCGGGGGGCGGGAGCGGACAAGAGGAGGGCGGGAGCGGACCGAGAGGGCGGGAGCGGACAGAGCGGGGCGGGAGCGGACAGAGCGGGGGCGGGAGCGGACAGAGCGGGGGGGGGGGCGGGAGCGGACAGAGCGGGGGGGGGGGGCGGGAGCGGGCGGGAGCGGACAGAGCGGGGGCGGGAGCGGACAGAGCGGGGGCGGGAGCGGACAGAGCGGGGGCGGGAGCGGACAGAGCGGGGGCGGGAGCGGACAGAGCGGGGCGGAGCGGACAGAGCGGGGCGGAGCGGACAGAGCGGGGCGGAGCGGACAGAGCGGCGCAGGCTGCATTGGCCCTGGCCTAGCAGGTGCAGGGGAGCCCGGAGCGGCCTTCGCTGCGCCGAAGGGTCACTGCAGGGCAGCTGGTTGTATTCACCACGGCCGTCTTTCAGGGCATGAACTACCTGGAGGAGCGGCGCCTGGTGCACCGGGACCTGGCAGCCAGGAACGTCCTGGTGAAGACGCCGCAGCACGTTAAGATCACGGACTTCGGGCTGGCCAAACTGCTGGGCGCTGAGGAGAAGGAATACCATGCAGAAGGAGGCAAGGTAGGGAGCTGGCCTGTACCCAGCCGCGGTTCCCCGCCGGCCGACTGCTGGGCGTGGGGACGTTCTCAGGCCTCCTGGATGAGGTGACGGCCCGGCCACCCGCACCTGCGGCTACTGGGGGATTCTGTCCACGCAAGCCGGGCATCTCGGAGCAGGTTTGCTGGGGGAGGGAGTAAGGATGTTTCCGGCGGGTCCAGAGAGGGAGAGGCAGGAGGCGTGAGGCCGGCTCCTGCTCTCCAGGTTAGCCAAGGTTAGGTTTCAACCACCCTGCAGAAGGGCAGCTGGGAAACGTCACAGCTGGTTTGGTGGCCGCTGCCGAGAACGTGTGAGAAATACGGAAAGTTCCCAGAGTTGTCCCGAGAGCTCCCGGGGGTGTCTATGTCGCTCACTGGTGACCCGCAGTGGCGGAACCTGCTCCCTCCTCTTGGACAGGTTTGGGGGTTCTCCAGGGGACTCGCCCCCAGCACAGAGGCACACAGGCCTCCTGTTAGGCTTTCCAGAATCCTCTGTATCAGATGTACCCCACAAGTGTCACTGTGGCCTGCATGACCCCAGCAAACACCCACAAACACAGAGTGGAGAGGACCACAAGGCACAACCAGAGCCCCCAGCTGCCGACACCTGTGCCCAGCTCACCGGGACACCCACAGACCCAAGGCCCTGGGCTGCCAGCTCCTCCTGGGGCAGCGCTTGGCCGGGGGGTGGGGGCAGGGCGCGGCTGGCTTCTCCACATTTGTCCGTCACTCGCCATGTGCCCCAGCCTGAGTTCGTGTTCTCAGCAGAGGGGAGCTAATAGTCGTCTTGTTCCTTTGCCTCTCTGACCCCCAGGTGCCGATCAAGTGGATGGCCCTGGAATCCATTCTGCACCGAATCTACACCCACCAGAGTGACGTCTGGAGCTACGGTGAGTGCGGATCCCGGGGCCCTTCGACGGCTTTGCCGGGGCTGCGTGACATCACATGCTCTGCCCCCAAGTCTTTTCTTCCAAGACAGTGACTCATAGCAACAGAGCAGCTGCTGTCCCTCAGTGACACTGAGAAACCCTGACGCCGGAAATGAAGTCCAACCGCCGCACTAAATGTCACCGGCTGTCCGTGACCTTGTCAAGAGGGGGTTCTGGGGGAGAGGGAGGACTTGAACTTAGGACGTGCCCTTATCCGCAGAATCGAACCAAACTCGACCTCTTGTGCGAATTTGACGTGAACCCAGGAGATGAGGAGGGAGGTTGCCCGGGAGGGTCCGGCAGAGACAAGAGGCTTTGGGATGGGCTGGCTCAGGCTGGCGCTGCTGGAGTGAAGGGTGGTGGCCGCTGGGTCAGAGAGCGTGGCCGGCAGAAAGGATGTGTCCTTGGAAGACAGTAAGAACTGCTCCCAGGCCTCATCGGGGCCCTGTGTTTACTTCCCCGCCCTCCCCTCCGAGGTCTGCAGGGCCTGGGCGCCGTGCTCGGGGGCGTCCCTCCCCCAGAGTGTCCTCACCCGCTGGCCTCGAGGCCTCGTGGCCTCGGTACCCGCCGCACCTTTTAAGAAAACATCACTAGGGCGTTTTCTCCGACTGCCGTGCTGGGCGCGGTCACCACGGTATCACACACCTGTCGCCCCGCCCTCCGCGGAGCCTCCAGACACCTCGGCTATTGTGGTCACTGTGACTCGTCAGCCTGTCCCCACCTATGAATGTCACCCCACCTCCACAGAAATGTGTTTGGGGGGAGGAATATTGAAAGGCATTATTCCCCAGAGAAAGCGAGTCAGCATCACAAAACCACTCAGGACATCGTCCGCGTAGCGTTTTTCTTCCGCAGCGGTGTCAACTTCCTCATGGTCCAAACGTATCGTTTTAATGTCACGGTGTTTGTCCGGTCCTCCGGGATAATGCAAGCTTTTCAGGGTGATCTCGGTGAGGGACCGAGGAGTTTGTACACGTTCTGGTGAGCTGAGGGCTTGTAATTAGCGAAGGAGGAAATTACGCTTTCTGATGCCTTGTTATTTTCAGTTGTTTTTGAGATAAGTCAGCCCCCCAAGATGGGTGGAAAGAAGTGCTTTGTCCCCACTCCTGGACCCTGCCCAGGGCCATCATCATTGACACCCCACTAGCCCAAGGCCCGGCCCCACGGTGGCACCGCAGGACGAACCCATGGGTGTCCTCACTTCCTGTGTTGTACACTCTCATCTAGTGTCCAAATAGGCAGAATATATGTATTTTTTTTTTGTTTAAGCACATCTGGCTTTTTCTTCTCGGCATAACATCCTTCTTGGGCTCCCCAGGATGCTGCAAATAAAACCCGAGCTCCTAACCAGGACGGTGAGCTGGGGAAGGGATGTTCTGGTGCCTCTGCCTTTGCAGCGTCGTGGGCTGTGTGGTGCTCCGGACAGTCCGTGCCCACCCTCAGCTCACACGTGGTCCCCACATGTGGAGTAACCGAAAACCCTTTAATTCGGGGACGTTGAGCCATGATAGCCCATGTCAGAGGGTCTGCAACACGTGGTGCTCATGTGTGTTTCAGTCTGGAGGAAACTTCTCTGTGATCAGAGTCTGCAGTGCCCTGGCATGCTTAGCTCACGAGCCTGGACATTTAGTATGAAACACAGCCTGGCCCTGGCCGGTCTGGCTCAGCGGTTAGAGCACTGGCCCGCGGACCAGAGAAGCTTGGGTCCGTTCCTGCTAGGGACACGTACCTCGGTTGCGGTTTGTCCCCGGCCCTGGTTGGGGTCATGTGGGTGGCAGCCACTTGATGTGTCTCTCTCAAGTCGATGTTTCTCTCTCTCTCTCTTCCTCCCTCTCTCCCTCCTGCTGTATCTGAAGATAAATGGAAAAAATGTCCTTGGTGAGGATAACAATTACAAAACACATATCCTGTTACTTCACTCTCTCGTCTCCAGCCAAGGCAAAATAGTTCATGAATCAGGGACCTGTGTGTTCCACTTAGGAATTGAAAGATGGAGCATCCGCACCACCCTCCAGGCCCACTGACAGCTGTGACTGGGTACACCCCCCACCCCACTGTCTGTCCCAAGTCCTGAGGAGCCGCCCTCCCACGGGGACCCACTGCGCACCTTGAGACACCCCTCCCAACCCAGTTAGATGAGAGCGCCCTGACCTCCTAGATCTGGGAAGGAGATGGGCTCTCACCGCGTCCGTGCTGACCGGGAGCAGGAGAGGACAGAGAATGGCTCTTCTTGCGCGGGGACCATTGTCTTCTCCATTTCCAACCCTGCGTTCTGCCTGCTACTTCGGGTCACTTCCTTCAGGAGTGGCCTCTGAAAGGCCAGGCGGATCCGTGGCAATCCGCGCCTAGGCCCAGCTCTAAGGAAAGTGGGTACTGGAGCCAGATGGAGGTCAGGGTCCGCCCGGATCCTGTGCCTGCCCCCCCCCCCCGAGTCTGGGGACCGGACTTGTCCGCTGAGGCTTCTCTGGTGGCAGCACGGGTTACTTTCACTGTCCGGTGGGGACAAGCTCCCTGAGGTGTCGGTACGTTTCTAGAGCAGAGAATTGGCACAGAGGCAGAAGGACCATCAGGGCCTGGATGGTGGGGTCCCATTGGGTGAGCGTTGTCCTGGGCACCGAATGGTTTCGGGTTCAGTTCCTGGTCAGGGCATGTGCCCAGGCTGTGGGCTTAATCAGTAGGGGACAAGCAGGCGGCAGCCTATTGGTGTTTTGCTCTCTCAGTCTCCCTCTCCCCTCTCTTTCTAAAATCAATTTTTTTTAAAAGTTTTTTAATTTAAATGCTTTAAAAAGAAAGAGAGAGAAGAGAGACAGGGAGGGAGGGAGGGAAGGAAGGAGGGAGGGAGGGAGGGAGGGAGGGAGGAAGGAAGGAAGGAAGGAAGGAAGGAAGGAAGGAAGGAAGGAAGGCCATCAGAACTGGGTCATGGTCTGAAAAAAACACCCATTCAAAAATTCCTACTGCTTTGATTTCTTTTTTTAATCATGAGGATTGATTTTGAAACAAAAAGTATAAGGTTTTTATGTTCATCAAAGGAACATTGGAGGGATTTTGTTTCCAATTTTTCTTTTATTAAAACACCCAGCTTATAACCTTGCTTGTAATCTCCACGTTTGCCCGCCCACACCGCCCCCGCAGCGCCTGAGTGTCTGTCCTGCTCCACAGCCTGACCAGAGCGGTGTCGCTCCCCTGGCGGTGGTGGCTTGGTTGTTCCCACAGTTCGCCACGTAGCGGCCTCTCGCTATTTGCCTGGCGTTGTCCGAACGTTTCAGTTGTACTGTCTTATCTGACCCTCCCTCCTCCTAGGGGACAGCACTGTCATCACCCACTTCACAGAGAGGTAAACTGAGCCCGCTGCCCGCGGCCACAGAAACATCAGCATTTAAACATTAGGAGCAGGATCCACAGTGCCGAGCGCGGGCAGGGCGCTGTGATCACTGACTCACAAAGCCACTTGGTCCTCGCAGGAGTCACCGTTTGGGAGCTGATGACTTTTGGGTCCAAGCCGTACGATGGGATCCCAGCAAGTGAGATCTCCACCACGCTGGAGAAGGGGGAGCGCCTGCCGCAGCCGCCCATATGCACCATCGACGTCTACATGATCATGGTCAAGTGTGAGTAACGCCGCCACGGCCCCGGCGTAGCGGGGCCTCGGCCACACGGTCGAGTCCTCGGTTTCCCCAGAGAAATGCAGGCAGCCGAGTCCAGAGACGTCGCCAGTCACCCCTCAGACATTCCTCAGGAAGCGCTAGCTTGACTCACTGAGCCGGGGACCTGACACCGCCCTGAGTCTCCGTGCGCCGCGACACCAACGTCCTGTGTCGTGAGTTGCGCGATGGAAAGGTCGCCCACGTTTTGAAGTCTGTTACCAGAGAGACTGTTCCAACGCCTGCTCACGAGTGACCACACGAGGCCAATAGCATCGACATTTCTGCTTCGATTCCAGTCTCTCAAGTAGCGGGTGTGCGTGAGGCCTCGCCACAGTGTAGCAAGTAAACGTTTCGATCCAGATACGAGTGTGTCACTTGCTCCACTGTGCTTGCAGCGGAGCCCCCAGCTGAGCGGGCCCTGAAGGTGACATTCCGTGTGTGCGGCGCATGTACGCGGAAGGAAACCCAGGGACCGCAGAGCGAAGTCGGTGTAAATATTGATGCTCGCCGACCTTTAAACCACAGAGGTCATCTATTTTTAACTTCCTTGTTTTGGGGCTGAGGAAGCTGAGAGTCTAAAGGGTTACATGATTTGTCTGAGGTCACCTCGCCGTCTGGCCTAAAATAGCCTGACATCCTGCTGCTGGGAAATGTGAACCCCCAAGAGGCACATGGGTCCCCAGTTCATGGCTGCTCCTCCAGCTTGCTCCTCCGGGCCCAGGTCGTTGTGTCGCCAAATGCACCGGCCTGGTTAGCGGAAGGTGTCCTCCTAAGGAAGCCCCGAAGTACCCCCTCCACTGGCCCACGAGAACACCAGGGTAGGGACTTCCCAAAGCCCGAGGTTCTGAAGGAAAGTCCCCACATTCCTCCAAACAGAATCTGGTTTCAAGTTTGCAAGTCTGCTGAGAGAATCTAGACGAGGTGACTGTGGAGGGAGGGGGTAACAGCCCGGGCACCAAGCCCCTGAGCCCCGGCCAGAGCACCTCACCGTGGACGGCTCCGGTGGTCACGCCAGGGCGCGGCCCTCGGGAGAGCAGGTCAGAATATCAGAGCACGTCAGTGTCGCCCTGACTCGCACAGGTCACAGTGCCGTGGGCTTAAACAAGCCCATGCTGGTTGGCCAAGACCAGGGAGTCCATCACAGAGAGTCAGTTTCCTTCATCATCTGTTTGTCGAAAAGGGTCTCCCCACACACGCGTCCTTCAGGCAGTGCCGCCTTCGGGGTTACTTTCAGGGTTCCAGCGGTACCCCTTTTCTCTTCTGCTTCTCCAGGCTGGATGATAGATGCAGACAGTCGCCCAAAATTCCGCGAGTTGATCAGCGAATTCTCCAAAATGGCCAGAGACCCCCAGCGCTACCTTGTCATCCAGGTACCAGACCGCCTCTGCCCTCCCGCAGGGGACAGCCCCGTAAGGAGCGTCAGGCGTCGCTGGGCTCCGTCCTGGGCGCCGCCCCCCAGGCCCCGTCAAGTCCTCAGTGCGTTGGAGCGAGCCTGGGCCCAGCCCCATCTGCCACCCCCATCTGAACCCCAGTGCCAGACACAGCCTCCACATCACATGTCACCTTCACCTTGCAGCTGGTCAGAGCCTTGGCTCGGTCCGGAGGAGACGCAGGGCTTAGGTGTAGGGCAAACCCAGCTTCAGATCTCGGCCCCTCCCATTGCCTTGTTCGGCCACCAACACCAAGCTCACAGGCTGCGGTACAGATGTGGTGACACAGTGTAGGCAGAATCCACTGCACAGCACCTAAGATTGTGCTCGGCGCTCCGTGTGTGCTCACACGGGCCAGGGGGCGGGGCGGCGGGTTTCCCCACACCGCCAGCAGGCCCCTCTCCGACACCAGTGGGGTGTCCAGTTCAACTCCATTTCCACACCGTCCCCCTGGAGATGACGTGTGATCCCACAGGTTGAGGGCTCAGACCTCCAGAACCGGCCCCTCCCTCTTCAGATGGCAACGCGGGTCTCGGCTGTCACCTGTGCTCTGACCTGGGGTGGGACAGAAAGTTCCAACCCCTGATGCCCCTGGCAGCCAGCCCCCAACCGAGGTGGGGTCCTGAGTCACCCCATTAACACGACGACACCTCTGTGGCTCTTACCACCTAGCAAAGTCCAAGGGCTCTAGGAGCTGGTGCCAGGAAGACCAGAGAGAACAGAACGTGCGTGTATTGTCATCAGTCACGTCACAGCTTCGAACCTGCCTTTTTCCTCCGGAGCTTTTGGTTTCCTCTGAGGGCAGGGGAGGGGAGGACGCAGCCTAGGGAAGGAACCAGGGCGATTGTACGGGAACTAAGTTGGCAAACGAACAGGCACCTGCCAGCCCTGGACCCGTAGCCCGGAAGTGAGTAGCATCCCCGGGCCCTCCTGATGTCTCCACATCTCTGCCCCAGGGGGATGAGAGGATGCACCTGCCCAGCCCCACGGACTCCAACTTCTACCGCGCGCTGGTGGGCGAAGAGGACGTGGGGGACGTCGTGGACGCCGACGAGTACCTCATCCCCCAGCAGGGCTTCTTCCACAGCCCCTCCACGTCCCGGACGCCCCTTCTGAGCTCTCCGGTAAGACGTGCCGCTCCCGTACGCTGGGTCCTCCGTGGTGAACACTGGAGCTTAGGAAAACGGTTCCCATCTAGTGGAACTCGCCCGGAGACGCAGAGCGCGTTTAGCCAGGTGACAAAGCCCGACCGGACACATCGGTTAAGGGTGCTCCTTTTATTACCGCGTTGCGGAGGGGATTGCAACCTCTCCAGGTTGACTAAGGAGCAGAATTACAACATGGCTAAGCCGAGTTTTCGGAAGCTAGTGGGTCAAGACGACCCGAACACCTTTAAACACCTCCGCTTCTTTTTCAGAGTGCCACCAGCAACAACTCCACCATGGCTTGCATCGACAGAAACGGGGTACGTATGAAGCCCTAGTACACCGGGGCTCAGTCACACCCCCGGCATGGCTCTGTTGAACCCAGGTCATGCCCGCATTGACCCAGACAATCTCAGGCCTCCCCACCGTATTGTTTCTTCCCCGCGTGGTCCCTGAGCCCCTACCCTGAGGCCAACGATGAGTGGGGACCTCCCTGCAGTGCTCTTCAGGATGGGGCCCCGGACCTCCCGCCACAGGTCCCCTGGCAGTTGGCAACAAATAGAAACCGAGGGGCCCCTGCCCCAGACCGGGGAGCAAGATCTCTAGGGATGGCACCCAGCCCTCCAGGGGGCGCTGAGGCTTGATGGCACGAAGCCTTGGCCTTCACCCCCATTTGTCAGTGTGGGATCACTGGCCCCTGTGGCTGCTCACATTTAGTGTTCATGAGTTGAAATCAAATACAATTAAATATTTCGTTGCTGCTCTGGCCGGTTTGGCTCAGCGATTAGAGCATCGGCCTGCGGTCCAGAGAGACCCGGGTTTGGTTCCCACTAAGGGCATGTACCTCGGTTGCAGTTTGTCCCCGGCCCTGGTTGGTCATGCGGGTGGCAGCCACTCGATGTGTCCCTTCACGTCGATGTTTCTCTCTCTCTCTCCCCCTCCCTCCCTCCCTCCCACTCTATCTGAACAAAAACTGGGGGGATGTCCTCGGGTGAGGATGGAAAGAATTGCGTCGCTCGCACATGCGGCTCGTGGCGCCGTGCGGAGAGCAGAGCACGGGCAGAGGCCCTCCCTGCTGTCGCAGGCGCCTCCTGGGCAGCGGTGACGGCCTCGCCCTCGCCCTGTGGCCTGTGGGCCGGCAGCATGTAGAAATGCAGACTCTCGGGCCCTGCCCAGACCCGCCCTGTAGCAAGACCGCGGGGGACTGTCATACATCCTGCGGCTCATGTGACCTCGCCTGTCCCCCCACAGCAGAGCTGCCCCCTCAAGGAAGACAGCTTCTTGCAGCGGTACAGCTCGGACCCCACCGGCACCCTGACCGAGGACATCGACGACCCTTTCCTCCCGGCGCCAGGTGAGTGGCTCGTTCCGGACACGGTCACGCTTGCAGCCCCGCCCAGCAGCCGCCAGCCCGGTGCCCTGGCCGGTGGCTTCCTGCAGGCTGGCCCGGAGGCGGAGACGGTGGCAGATCTGCAGATGCCGTGGAGGGGGGAGAGGCAGAGGCACACGCCCGACTGAGCGTGGCACGCGCCAGTCCGCAGAGGCGGGTCGTGGGCAGGGGGCTGTTGGAGGTCCGTGTTTAGGATGAATCTGCAGATATTCTGGGCTTTGGAGCAAACAGCTCAGACACACATGTGAGAGTTGGGGGGCAGCTGTTCCCCGTTTTCTCTCCTGGCTTCATTCGAGGCCTGCGAACCGTGCACTTTTCTGACCTGGGTTTATCGCCCCCACCCCTGGCCTGCACGCACACAGCGGGGGGCAGGCTGCCCTCTGAGGGCTCTGAGTGGGGACACGTGCACTCAGCGCTGAGGACAGGAAGGTCACCTGGTGCGCAGCAGGAGGCCGGCGCCGGGCTCCCCGCCCCGCCCCCTCACGGAACAGGGGCGCGGGTTCGGAGGAGGCCGTGCGTTCCCCCTGGGCAGTGCTCGGCTGAGTGCCTCTGGTGTCCTTTCCATTTCAGAATACATCAACCAGTCGGTCCCCAAGAGGCCGGCGGGCTCTGTCCAGAACCCCGTCTATCACAACCAGCCTCTGAACCCCGCGCCTGGCCGAGACCCCCACTACCAGAACCCCCACAGCAACGCCGTGGGCAACCCCGAGTATCTCAACACCGCCCACCCCTTGAGCGCCGGTGCTGTCCCCGAAGGCCCTGCCCTCTGGGTGCAGAAAGGCGGCCACCAAGTCAGCCTGGACAACCCCGACTACCAGCAGGACTTCCTTCCCAGGGAAGCCAAGTCCAATGGCATCTTCACGGGGCCGACGGCTGAGAACGCAGACTACCTGCGGGTAGGCCCCCCGAGCAGGGAGTTCATCGGAGCATGACCCTGGACGTAGCAGCGCCCACAGCAATCCAGGCCCCGGGACCGGCTCCTCCGCCCTGACGGCCGCACCCTCTCGGCTCCCGGAGCCCGGCCTGGCTCATCTGCGCCGTCTGATGCCTCCCTTTCACCCCGGATGTACTGTGGGGGGTCGTAGAGACATCCCTCCTCTTTGCACCACGAGGGCCCACGAAAGGCATCTGGAAAAGAACGTCCATCCGGGCAGATGCTCACGGAGCAATGAGGTATACTGGGGCGGGGCGGGGCAGCTACCTGTATATATAAGGAGTTGTATTGCTTGGGGACCTCGGGGGTTTTCAACGGTCAGTTACTGGTTTTGTTCTGCGTGGGCCTTTCCAATGAGGAAGAAGCTTGTCCGTGGGTAGCACTTGCTGCCCTGCGTTGATGGGGCCCAGCTGGGACCAAAAGCAAGGGCCGGCCTCCAGGGACAGTTGACCCACTGGCTCTGCTTAGAGACTCTGCCAGCTCCAGACAGTTACAGACTGGAAGTCCTCCGTGACCCGAGCACGCCTGGTGGCTGCGGCGTCCAGTCCCCGCAGGTGCAGGAGGCTAAGCCCCTGGATCCCTTCCTGGGCGAGGGGGACCAAGAGGGACGGAGTCCCCCTCAGACCTCCTTTGCCACGTGCGTCCGCGGTACGTGCTCTGCGTCGGTCAGCCAGCGTCTTGCAATTCCGAGCGTTCGGAGACTTCCTTGTTCATTTTCCATTCCACTGCTCTGAACCCACATGGGTCCCCCATCAGCGAGAGGAGACGGTACACAGCCCGGATCGAGTCAGCGGCACCGGACCGGAAGCCCCGGATGCGGCCGTTCAGACAGGATCATGCCCCCCAGCTGGGGTCTCCGAGGAAACCCATCAGCCCCTAGAGGGCCCGGGTAGCCCGTATCCGGAGACTGCGAAAACCTACCTGTGCTTAAAACTCACTTCGTCTCCCCCTAAAAATTAGTGTAGGCTACTCACGGGAGATCACTTTTACTTCATTTTAAACGTTCTCTACTCAAAGGGTACTTGGTTCCGCCCTGGTGAGCTGTCCCCAAAGCGTCCCTTTGCCTTGTGTGAGTCGAGGACCGTGGGGCACGGTGCCGGCTCGCAGCCCTCGCCCCTGCGGGCAGCTTCCCGGGTGGAAACGATGACGATGTTCCGTAGCGAGTGGGATTCGAGCGGCGGAGGTGGGAGGTGAGCTGGACATGAAGGCCGTCACAGCCTCTGCCAGGTGCAGGAGAGCAGATGTTTTTCCTTCTTTAAAAAACGTCTCTGTAATTGGAGGAGCTCCAGCTAGGTAGGAACCGACTCCCCCCATCTGTGCCCCTACAACCTGTCCGTTCCCGGGGGGCCCAGCAGAGGGCGGGTCACACGCTCCTAATGAACACCCGCCCCGTCCAGTCGAGGAAGAACCATTTCCACGACCTCCTTGACCCGTGGGTGTGTTCAGACACACACACGTACATTTCCTTCCGCTTCGAATTATTCACGGGCTCAGATGGATCGGGACCCCACAGTTTCATTACCAAAACTTTATTCTATCTCGATGGGAATAGAATCTGCATTCAGGGTAATGCTGTCATGCTCTCAAATGCTCCTGAGCACCTGTACCAGCCCAGCAAAGGTGCTCAAGGAACCAAAATAAATAAAACAATCCCTGATTCCAAGAAGTCCACCACGTGGCAGAGGAAAGGGTCTCACCAACGCTAACCGTAGAACAGGGTGACCTTGACAAGCGAGACCTGGCAACCAGGCACTGTGGCAGGAGCAGTGGGTGCCTCCTGGAGACCTGGGGGGCCTGGCAGGGAGGCAGAGGGGGGCCGGAAGGTGAGCGGGGGTCAGGGGGAGGGGGAGGGGTACGCTCCCAGCAGAGGGAACCTCAGCCAATGGCCAAGTCAAGGCAACCTGCTGCCCCTTCAAGCCTGGGAATTCGACTGGCCTCGACCCCCAGGTTCCTCACTGGGGACATTATCTCTCCACCTGGAATTTAAAAATGATTAGTGAGACGAGTAAACAACATTTCCGAGAATCTGCCGTTTTACGTGATTGCCACGAAGCCACTGTATTGATCACTCACCTCAGAACGTAACACTTGAGCCGGGTGTGTACTGTGCACTGGGGAGCAGCCCCATTCCACTGTCCCTTTGCCGGCAGCAGGTGATGGCGAGGGACAGCACCCGTAGCCAGTCACGTGGTAGCATTAAACCCTAGTATCTTTGTCATTCGAAATAGTTTACTTTAACATAATAAAACAGCAGAAACCATTCCAGCTGTGGCTTCTTTGGATTGCAGTTTTCCTGCATGAAATCTAGTTGCCAAATTCTCATAAGATTGTGTTTCCCAAAGTGATGCTCACCAGGTCTGTTCCGGGAGAGGCAGGGGCTTGTAGAGGCTTCCGGAGCCCGGGGGTCCCTGGTCAGGAGCAGGGCTCCGGGACAGCGTTTCCATCCGACAGCCCTGACCGGCCTGATCTCAAAGCAGCTCCTCTGTCCTCGGGCCGGCTGCTCCCGCGGTGGGTCCCAGAGCCTGGCCCACAGCCCGCCTCAGCCCCCGCCTGGGGAAACAGTTCGGGGGGAGGAAGACCCGAAGCCGACATTCGCCATGGGCCACCGTGCTCACGTACACCCCAGGTCGTCTCAGGTGGCCCCGTAATCACACTCTGACAAACTGTCACCTCATAAGTGACACGGATGAATGTCCAAGGCTTCGGCATTTGCCGGCAGGTCTCCTTCTGAGCTCTGTCCCTCCCCCCACCCCGACGGCATGAAGGAACCACGAACCGGACCAGCACACTGGTTCTCCAGCTTGGCTGCCCGGGAGTCTGCTCGGGCCCAGCCGGGAAGGTTCCGACTCAACTTGTCTCAGGTGCAGCCTGGGTCCTGGGACTTTCTGAAGCTCCCCCGGGTTATTTTGGTGATCCCCAAAGCCTGGGGGACCACTGGGGTGAAGGAAAGCTGTGTGGGGGAGACTTCGCCCTTGGCTGATGGTCTCCCCGTCAGAACCCCCTGGCCACAGGCCCCGGGTCCCACAGGCATCTACAGGCGGCTGGATAGTGTCGCCCTGAGCTTCTCGCCCTCCCTGCCCACTGTCCTCATCCTGGTGAGCTTAAAAGGAAGAGGGCTGGGTCCCCTCAGGCCAGTGTAGTCGAATCTCAGGGGCTCCCGTGGGATTGAGAGGGCAGGCAGCGTTGAAACCCTCATCTCTCATCTCGCAGCTCACCCTCGGCTGTGCAAGCCCACACGCCCCCGGGCAGGACAGAAGGAAACACCCCGCGCAGTCGAGACCCCCAGAGGCAACGGACAGGACCCTTCCGTCCCTAATGTGCCTGAGTACGGCCGTTAATGGTCATTCCAAAAGCCTCGGATCCCTTGTCACCGGCAGCTCAATTACCCTGAAAGTGGCAGGTACTCCAGTCTGAGCCTTGCTGGGCCCCGGGACTGCCCATGTGTTCTAAGCAGTGGGTCGGAAGTGCGGACTCCTCCCCCGTGGGTGAGCTGGTCACGCAGAGGGGCAGCGTGGAAAGTGCCCTTCGTGCCCACTGTGCATCCCGTCCCTTGGAGAAGCACGTGGTCACAGTCTCTCCGGCCGCTTCCTTCCCTGGGCCTTGAGCCCTGACCCATCAGAGACTCCCGCACCCCTGCCGCGGGGGCACCGCTCGTGCTGTCCGACACCCAGGCGGGCCTCGTTCACGTCTATCTATCTCTGTAACTTTCTCGAATACTGTCCTCTTATGTAGCACTGAACTTTGTAAAGCGTGTTTTCTAGAACTCGTTTTTCTACGGAAGGAAATAGTTTACCTTGGGAAGGCAGCAACGTTTGAAAACAAAGTGTCTGTTGAAAGGGATTTCATTGAAGCGAGAGAAAAGTCTCCTCGCTCTCTCACCAAAGGGCACAGCGTCATTGTCACCGCAGAGCTGAGCTCAGGGGGTTAGCCAGGTGAAGAGGAGAAGCGTGCTCTTCTGTTTATAACGGGGGAGGTGGAGAGCACATGCCGCTCAGTCTGGGTCTGAAGCAGGTTCCACTGGGTCTGCTGGGGGCTGGTGCCGTCCTGTTATCCCAGACCCAACTGCGGGCCACAGCGTGACTCTGGAAAGGTCAGAAAAGCAGCAACAAACCCTGTACTTGCAAACAATTTTTATTGGCATTTTTACAATCGATACGCATTTGATGCAAATTTTGTCTGTCACAACTGCCAAGTGTCTACCAGTATAGACTGGAAAAGCTGCAGAGCCCTGATGTTCAGTGTGTTTGGGTTACTCACTGTATGATTGAAGCTGAAGCCACCAACAGTCTGGCCAACCTGAGCCTGACCCTGGGGGATGGGTCCTCAGCCCCGCGGTACAGTGACGTCACCGGGCAGCTTTGGGAAACCAAAAGCAAGCTTCCTCTCAGGTTGAGAAGCGAGGGCTAGGGCTCAGCCACAGGGGTGTGGACTTGCAGGCAAATTCTGCTGACGTAGGTGCCCCAGGGCAGAGAGGGCGCTAAGCCACAAGGACCTCCGCATCCGTCGCTGAGTGCCAGGGGCCTGAGTGCTCCAGGGCAATTGCCCGCGCGGGGCCAAGGGTCTAACCTGTCAATGAAAAGGAGGGAGCTAGGGAGCCGGTACCATTTTCCACTTCCTCTGTTAAAGACGGGTTGGGGTACAGTAAAGATTGGACACTCTTGCTGCCTGTGCGACCCACTTGCTGACCTTCCTCTGGCCACTCAGTTGCCTTCATTTCTGGAGTGAAAGAAAAGGGGACCTTCTCGGTTACATTCAAAGGGCAGGCGTCACGCATGGATTGCCGGCGCGGTCACATGGCTCCTATGAAAACGAGGATCCGTGCTTTACGCAACATTTTTATATCCTTTTCATAAATGAGAGCTGGGATCCAAACAAGCAGCGTGTGTGGTCTTCTCTTTGTGGGTGGCACAGTACCCAAGGCCGTCCTTCCCGGAGTCCCAAGAAGCCCCACCCTATCGCCTGGCAGATACCTTTTACGTGCATTTACCTATTTTTTTAAAGGAAGAAAACTTTTTGACCTAATTTAGCTGCAAAATAGTCTTGCTGTAGGATACAATGTCTTAGAAATAAAGTGATCCTATGGGTTAGAGGTGACAATGTAACAGTGGCCGGACAGCAATAACTTCCCTTTGAAACAAGCAATAGTGTCACAACACGGTACGTTTTAAACATTGTCAGGTTCTACTAGCTGTGTTTGTACAAAATGAAAAGCAAGATTCTCTTTTATATGGTTTGTACGTGGGATCAGAACACATTGATTGTATGCTGAGTATTAAACAATTAGATGTATATTATTCATTGTGCTTTATTCATGAGTACCTTATAAGAATAATGTTGTATTCTTTGTTACCAGTGTCGATGTTAGTTATTGATCATATCTCACCTACTGTAGATGTTCTTTCCTATTACTTTTTAAAATTCATTAATAAACTTTTATTTTTAGAGCACTTTCAGGTTCAAAAACTGCAAATTGGGCAGATAGTAGGAAGTTCTCAAATCCACCCCACACCCACCCTCCTGCACTGTCGCCGTCCACACCCAAGTGGCCTGGTGACAGTTGAAAGTCCGGACGTGTCCGTGGAGAGTGGGCTCAGGACACACTGCCCCGCGGCTCCGTGGGCTCCTGTGGGCGGCGTGCCGTGCGCATCCCTGTGCCTCGGGCTCTTGGTCGGGTCGTGTCTCACCTGTTCCCCCGCCTCCTGAGAGCACCTTCCCGGATTGCCGTCCAGCTGCTCCTGCTCCGCGGAGCCCAGAGGGAGATGCTGGAGGCAGGAGGGTTTTCTGTGGCCGCAGGGTTGTTTCCTAAGGACACCAAAGCCAGGGAGCTTTGTTGAGATTCTGCTGAGGGATCGATGAGCTGACGGCTGTGCTCAGGCCGGGACCCTGCTGCTGGCCCGTCACCATCCGCCTCCCTGACTTCCGGGCAGTTTTCCCTCTCCCCCGGGACCCTGTGGGGGGAACCCTCGCGTGGCTGCTCCCTGTCCGCAGCTTCTCTGCGGAGCCATCGAGGTGCTGAGGGGAGCTGAAGGCGGCGGTGGGGTGAGAACCGGGCGTGCGTGGGAACGCCAGCTCAGGTCGGTGGTGAGGTTCCCTCCCTCACGGAGTGAGAGCTGGGGTTCCAACGCATCCCGGCGACAGCTAGCGCGTTCACTGATGGGGCAGGTGGCACCTCTGAGGAGGGGAGAACAGCTTCCAGGGGCCAGCGTCAGCCAAGAGCCCGGGATGCCCAGGCAGGCAGAGCGCACGGGGAGGTGGCGGGCAGCCCATGCAGCTGGTTGGCCAGGTGACTGGCACCTGGAGGCCGAGTGGGACAGTCCCCAGGGCTTCCAGCTCCCTTGATGTCCCAGTGGACTCTGACCCCAGGGAAAGGAGCCCAGCCCTCCCGCCGGCTTCTCCCCAGCTGGTGCCCGATGCCCGGCCCGCCTGGGTCCTGCACCAGGAGAGCAGGAGGGCGCGGCTCGGGGCTCACAGCCACGCGAGGCGGGCAGTGTGAACTCATATCTCCTGGAAAAGCACAGCTCTGGTCGGTGGTGTTCTTTCTGAAGGTCATCGGCCACTACACAGACTGTAGGGCTGAGAGTGAAGTCTACTTCCTGTGGGGCAGGGCTTCAGGAAACAACGTCCTTGGAAGACGCTCTCCGGGACCCCGGGACCCTGTCTCCCTGACATCGTGGCCGCCTCCACGCCTGGCATTGTAAAGGGCCCTGGGAGGGATAAGCTGCTCGGAGCCCAAAGCCTTCGATTGCAGGTGCAGCACCATCTGTAGGAAGGCACGTTTCAGGCTGGGAGGTACCACCTCAC